TTTTCAATGGTGTTCTAGCTTCAAATGACTCATGATCTCAACTCTATAGAATTACTTAAATCTCCACCAAACCCCTTCTGATAATAATCATGTGCTCACTAGTGACTGGCTCCATGAGGTATTTCCTGGAGTTCCAGTGAGAAGCAGTAACCAGTGGAGTTCAATCAGGTCTGTTGGGAGATTTCAACTCACTGATGACATTGGTGAATGGTTGCTCAATTTCCTAGATCGGTTGAAGTTAGACATTAACACCGTTGGACGCCGGCCGGCTCAGTGGTCTATCGGTTAAGTGATCGCTTGTGAGACTGATAGGTCTTGGGTTCGAATCTCGCGAGTGCGGGATCGTGGATGTGCACTGCCGCTGAGGAGTCCCATAATAGGACGAAACGGCCTTAAAGCAGTGCTTCCAGGTTTTCCATGGTGATCTAGCTTCAATTGACTCATGATCTCAACTCTATAAAATTACTAAAATCACCAAACCCCTTCTGTTTATTGAGGACAGCCAAATGTATTTGAATACAAAAATACAAAATCACCTAGTAAAATCTGAGAACCATACAAGAAATACTTCAATTACAAAATACTAATCAATCGTCTTAGATTTGATTATTCTTTCGTTTCCATACTAATCACTCTCTCTTCTTGTTCTCTTTGTTTCGATCTTCTTAACCTTCTGTCATCATGTGTTTCACTTTTGGTTGATGATACATACTACTTATATATCTGCCGATATCAGTAGTACATATCACAAATGGTGTAAAGACTGAAAAAATTTAATCAGATTTATTTCGGAATGCAGAGTTTGACTTGTGATAGTTTTCATATAGCATGAAAACAGAAATGAGCCAGATATACAATGTTCAAGAGTTGATATCAAATATACAATATTGTATACGATGTCGACTACTTGAGAGGAAAGACAGAAAATAAGGAGAAAAGTTTAGTTGACTAAGTAAACCCCATTCGTGGTTTATATGTTTATTCCATGCAAATGAAAAACCATTTTTGAGTTAATCATATGCAATTATCATTTGGTAATTGTTGGTTGATTCACTTTATCAACCTCAGTTCACTTATACAAATGGGGTGTTGTTTAAGAAATTGAGAGAACGAAAAGCGAATGTTCGGCGCTTTTACCGGGTTGTTGGACACAGAAAGTCTACCTATAGGAGTTGGAAAACCCTGATTCCAAACCAATGGTGCACATGGGCTCCACCATCCTGAGGGAATAAATGGTGTACGAGTCAATCGTTGGTCACTGACTACTATGAGACTGCATCTCTTTACGATGCTCCACTGACCTGTGGATCAGATTTTATGGTCAAAGGTTCCGAGTGTGGCCCCATAAGAAAATTACCTGCTTCGGTCTGGGCACTCGGACAGTATCATAGCCCTCAAACAATTAAATGAAATAACAATTTTTTGCATGGCGCGTATATATCTGGTGCCCCCTTGTACCAATATTTATGTGTTCAAGTGAATATATATATGTATATATATATATTGTATTGTCTACTTGAATCTTCCTATCGATGTTCAGGATTGCAACTGATCAGTCTGTCTCTTATTGCCATATGTACATCCTGTGTGGATTGCTTCGATATTGACTAAATTCACAAGCATTATAAGAAAAGATAAATAGTGATTAGTAATGGAATCCAGTTTGATATGTGTTTCGTTCCATTTGAGACTCGTTAGCTAGATGTACCTTCATCTTAAAGTTGATGTTCACTCCAGGACTAGTAATCAGGACTCTATAATCAATTTTAACTTATCCCATTTGACTAAAGTACCTTCATAGTTAAAGCTTAGTTAGTAGATACATATGGACTTAACTAATAAAGATATAAAATCAATATACGGTAATATATCTTTACGACTGATCCCTTTAAATCAAACTATTATTACTTGAATCAATCATAAAATACATTGCGAAGCGAGATCGTGGATGCTCACTGATGAGGAATTCCACAATAGGGCGAAACGGCCATCCAGTGCTTTCAGGTTTTTCCATGGTAGTTTAGCTTCAATTGATACATGATTTCAACTTTGAAAATACTGAAATCTCTACAAAACCCCTTCCGATCTATAATAAAGTTTAATTATCATCCAATTTGGTCAGTGAAGACTGATTAGCTTAAAATATGAGTTAAATGAAACACTGTTACAATAAAGACTAACTTACTAACTAAGTATAGATTTGTATACTTGAACTTGGATCACAGTTTTTGTAAGAAATGATGATACTACTGCGATTCGAACAGAATACCATGGATGTGACGCGCGAACACTTAACCTGTAGACAGACCACTGAACCTTCATCCAACAGTGTCAATGTTTAACCTCAACCAATCCACCATGTGTCGCGATCATCTGGCATTGTGTTCAGTGGATGATTGCCTCACACCCAATACGGTTCATCTCCACTGGTCATGGCTTCTCATTATAATACAACTGAGAGAATTCCCTCTCCATGCAAGTCACCAGTGACCACATGATAATTTGCAGTTTGTCCTTCTGCATATCTAAGAAATTCAAGCACAATTAAGATCTACCGTCTATTTGTTGGGAGTCGAACACACTTTAACTACTATTGTAGTGAACAAGAACACGATTAGGGACAATGGAATGCAGAATACAGAATATCTAGCAAGCATACAATAAACACTGGACGGCCGTTTCGTCCTTTTATGGGACTCCTCAGCAGCTTCAATTGACTCATGCTTTCTACTATGAAAAATACTAAATCTCCACAAAACCCCTTCTGATAATTAATACAGTAAACAGTTAATTCGCAAACTATTAATCAATTGTCTCAATCTTGGCTGTTCCTTCTGCAAATATCAGTCCATCGTCTCCGATTATTATTGTTCATTCATTTTCATACCAATTGCGTTTGATTCCCGTTCTTTCATTATCGATCTTCTACTGAAATGCATTCAGTGCCTGACTACCGTCATATACTACTTATGTGGATATAAGTAACCCATAACACACTATGTCATTACTCTACTAGACTATAGATTATAGCCTCAATGACAAAGTTTGTCTTTTGATATGTATGAGTTAATTCATATAACATTAAAAATAATCTCAATGCTTAACTGGGAAAATTCCCTTCGATTGATTTGAACATGGAATATACCTCAGTTTGTTACTAATAACTTACTGTTTTCATGGCAACCATTAAATGGTATGACTTAGTGAATAAAAACAACTAGAATCAATTCTTAAATATTTGTTTCTCTATAGAGATTAATGATTTCTGTATCGAAAAACTCCGCCTGTGGCTCCTCCGGGGCTACTGCCGGTCCCAAGCCCGGGTAAAGGAGGAGGGTTGGGCATGGGGTTAGCGACCCCATCCCGTAGAAAACCAACTCGCTAAAAAAAGCTAACCATAAAAAAAGGTAGTATCAGGTTATGTTAAAATAAGTGTCTATGCGGATTCAATGGGTCGACTAGACTAATTAGGTATGATGCATACTACAGTGTATATGAACTGGTTGCACTTTACAGTGTCTTGTAACTATTACACACGCTGACTTAATAATTTACAATTGATTGACCACTGGGTGGTGATCAATGTATGCATGTATCGCCAACAACCATCTTAATATCAAAATAGTACATACAATGTCGAGTCACCTAGACTAGTGGCCACATTGCAACGTGGTCGATTAGATCCAATCTAGAGTCAGAAGAACCTGTTATACATGACATTGATCACCACCCAGTTTCCTCCAGAATACTATTACACCTTGCTGACGAGTGCTATGTAGCACAGAACCTAGATTCAGGGTTTCCTGTTGACTATATCCAACCACCATCTTAACTGACTTAATAAACATGCTACTGTAGTGAACAAGAATACCAGTGGGGACAATCGAATGTATATGAAATCAAAGTTTCAGAACGTCCTAGTCAAATCTGAGAATCATACAGTAAATACTTCATTTGCGAAATGTCAGTCAATCATTTCAGATTTCATTGTCCCTGCATTTTCATACTAATTGCTTTCCGTTTCCGTTCTTTCCTTCTCAATGTTCTACTGATTGTCTTTATACACTACTTATATGAATATAAGTAGCTCAAACTACACAACTATTAGTAAACAATTGCTAATTATCAACCTTGTATACGTGTTTTGTTACTGTTTGCCTTCATTGAAGATTTAAGGCACCTTAGTGATTGCATATAACTAGTTATAGTCGTATTAATTTTTAAGGTAACAACCCAGTAGTTAGAGCTCCCAACTTTCGGTTAAAATGTCTAAGATTGGAATCCTATTCAACTTGCACTTGATTAGATAGTGGGATAGTGTCAATAGCCATCTTATGGTATGTATGTTTCAAGACCGAATGCATGAATAAGAACTTCACAAACTAGTCCCATCACTAAAATACCATGTTTGTAACCATTCCTTGGAAAAAAATTCTAAAATATATATATATATATATATTTATTTGAACACAGAAATATTAGTACAAGTAAGCACCAGATATGTATGCGCCACACAAATCTCATTTGATTTGTATGAGGGCTGTGATAATGCCCAGGTGCCCAGACCGAAGCAGGTGGTTTTCTTAAGGAGCCACATCTGGAGCCCTTGACCTAAAGATCTGATCCATAAGGTAGTGGAGTATCTTGAGGAGATGCACTCCCATAGTAGTCAGTGACCAACCATTGATTCATACACCATTTATTCCCTTAGGATGGTGGAGTCTATGTGCATCATTGGTTTGGAATCAGGGTTTTCCAACTCCTTTAGGTAGACTTTCCGGACATTCGCTTTTCGTTCTCTCAGTTTCGTAAGCAACACCGGTGCCTCGAGAAGTCAGTGAGTAGGATTTCCCTGGTAGAGTCTATACACCCGTGGCCATGTGAGAGCATTCCGAGAGGGAGAGCGGACTCTCCAGGACATTTGGGGCTCTAGAAATAAAACTGTGTTACATTTACCCACTTAGTTTAATTTTTTTTCAAATTTTTTTTTGATATTTCAGGCTTATGGAATAGTTTGGAAAGCATTAAATAAAAAAACTAAAGAAACTATTGCATTGAAAAAAATTTTTGATGCATTTCGTAATCAAACTGATGCACAAGTAAGCTATCGTTAACTGTAGTGTATTTTTTTCCCTTCTCTTTTTCTTTTTCTTTTTTTATTATCTCTTCTCATCTTTCCTTTTTTTGTCCATAGAGAACATTTAGAGAGATTGCATTCCTTCAAAATTTTGGTAATCATCCAAATATTGTACGATTGTATAATGTAATACGTGCAAGTAGTGATAAAGATATCTATTTAGTATTTGAATACATGGGTAAGCTTTGATCTCTATCTATCTATCTCCCCCTTTTTTAATTATTAAATAGAAACAGATTTACATAATGTAATTAAAAAAGGCAATATATTAAATGATATACATAAACAATATATTATGTATCAATTATTGAAAGCAACAGCTTATTTACATTCAGGTGAAGTAATACATCGTGATCAAAAGGTAAGTATGTATATTTTGTTTAATTCGTTGAACTACTTATAAGTAGTTAAAAAATATATTCAAATATAAAACTTTGAATCATCATGTATTATTGATAGTGTATAAATTTTGTTGATAAGAGTTTGTTTTGGCGGTATGTTGAAAGTATTAAACTTTAATATCTTCAGGCATTTGTTATCCACAGTTTTTGATAACTGTAAACTCTAATATTCTGCTTCATATCTTACATGAGTCGATAAAATATAAGTATTTTGAATGGCTTGTGGAAGCATCTGAGTATCTAAAGTTATACAGTTGTTGGTCAGTAATAGATATTAATTGTAGATTCTGAGTTTGATACCAATGAAAAAAAGGATCCACTAAACTTAGAGGTAACTGAATTTACTTCGTATATGTTATTTATTTACATAGAATCGTTTCACCTAGTTGATTTTGAGTCACAATATTCTGTCAGTGAAAGCCAACGATACCATACAGTTTAGTGAGCAGAAATGTATTGCATTACCTCTTAACGAATTATTGATTGGTTAAAAAACATCAATGTTTTAACCACTGAAAAAACTTCGATAGTTCCATGAACTTTCAAGTGTTTGTAATGTATAAAGAACGAACTTGACTTCTGACTTCAATAACTCATTAAAAGTGAAACAATAGTTAGTGGTTCATTTAAGACTTGGACATAATGATGATGATGATGATGATGATGATGATGATGATGATATCGAAGGTATTTTTAGTGTTTAAAAATAAAACTATGCCAGTTCAGTGGTCTATAACAATCTATAAATAGTCTGCAGAATTTACATACATTTTAATCTTCTTTGGATATAACAATATTTCTGAGTCAATTAAAGCTAGACCATCATGGATAACCTGGAAGCACTGGAAGGCTATTTTGTCCTATTGTGATATAGTGTCTACCACTTACGTAAGTAACAATAAAAGATTAAAGAGGAAAAAACGGGAACAGAAAGCAATTGACGAGACTATAATTTATGGACAACCTGTAAATCACCTTGAGAAACACTGGTCAATCAGGAAACAGTTTGTATAGAATAAAAATATATTATACAAAACCAAAGAATCAAAATAGACACACTTCTTTTGTATGATCTAAAAACGTGTCAAGGTTAGAAATACATTCAAAGGTTCTAAAATAATAATGCATACGTTAGAGGAACTCATCCATATGGATCTATAACATTTGATCTCTAGGGCTATGATAAAGTCTCAAATACTCTTTCAACATCGACCACATAGTTTCAATATTGTTTGTGTGTACTCTGGTTATGTAAGCTTGTCATTTCTATTACGCATATATCCCTACAATACTCATACCACTGAACAGTCGACGCTTCACTAACATCTGCGAATATTGCAGCCAATGTTACTGGTACTCTTATTATACAGTTCGCAGTGATTATTATAATATGTCTTAATCTAAATCTGGATCGAGGGAAAAATGTTCCTATTGTAGCGTACGTCTTCCTCCAACATATATTACATCGAAGGATATCATCACAGTAGTCTACACAGGGTCTACAAATCCTTCGATAACTGCAATTACAAATAAAAGAACATTCCAATAGTCCCATTTATTGTAACCGCTTAAATGTCATGTCTTCTCTGAAGTCTTCTATGAACCTTTCGTACATGAGCATCAGATACTGAAATTAACGTTGTGATCTTTGAAACCCCTAAAACGCTTCTGATTGTAGTCTCACCAATCAATTTGCATGAAAATGTAGGAACAATGAAATCAGACATTTGATTAACATTTTACAAAACGAAGTACTGAATGTATAATTCTCAGATTCTACATTAGAATACATTCGATTATCCTCACTTATGTTCTCGTTCGCTACAATAGTAATAGCAGTATTGTACAATTATTATTATTACTACTATTAATACGACTACTACTACTACTATTACGACTACGACTACTACTACTATTACTACTACTACTACTACTACTACTACTACTACTACTACTACTACTACTAAGACTAGTACTACTACTAGATGTCTAAATTCAGTTAATATATCCCTATTTTACCCATTTTTGTGTGTGGTCCCCCCTCAACGTTTTCTTCTTTTTTTTTCTTTTTTTTACTGATATACCAATTTCCAGCCATCAAATGTTTTACTAAATTCATATTGTTTAGTCAAATTATGTGATTTTGGTTTAGCTCGATCATTAAAAGGTCGTAATAAATATGAAAATGTCAATGGTAAACTGAATTGTAAAACCTTATTACCAGCATTAACTGAATATGTAGCAACACGTTGGTATCGTGCACCAGAAATTTTATTAGCATGTCATAATTATACAAAAGGTGTTGATATATGGAGTTTAGGTTGTATATTAGGTGAAATGTTAATTGGTACACCATTATTTCCTGGTACATCAACATTAGATCAAATTGAACGTATTATGGGTGCATTACCTAAACCTACTATAGAAGGTAAATTTGATTATTTGATAAAGTGTATTTTCTGTTTGATGTTGTTGTTTTTTGAAGGATTATATAATAGCAGAAGGGGGTTTTCTAGATATTATAGTTGTTGAAATTATTGGTCAATTGAAGCTAAAATACCATGGAAAACCTGGAAGTACTGGACAGCCGTCTTGCTCTATTGTGGTTGTCCAGTGTTTTCAGGTTTTCCATGGTAGTTTGGCTTCAATTGACTGACAATCTCAACTTTCAAAAGGATTATGTAATACACTTGGTATTGTTTTTTTTATGAATCTTCCCATTGATGTTTAGGACTGCAATTGATCAGTCTCTTATTGACGTATGTGCATACTGTGCATATTGTCTCGATATTGCCTGAAGTCATAAGCTTTATAAGAAAAAATTATTAGTGGCTAGCAGTGAAATCCAGTTTGACATGCGTTTCGTTCTATTTAGGAATCGTCAGCTGGATGTACCTGCATCTCAAAGTTGATGTTCCCTCTGGGACTGGGCCCAATGTCGTCCGATTCAAGTGTTATCGCGTTATCCCCTTAGCTACACAGTCCTTATCTCCACTAGCTTGTACAATGGGATGAAGTTTGAATTTACTTTGTATTGTTTCATTTGAATCTTCCCATTGAGATGGAGGTACATCCAACTTACGAATCTCAAATAGGACGAAACACATATCAAACTAGATTCCACTGCTATCCACTGTCCATCTTAAATTATGTAATATTTTCATAAGAAAATAAATCTAGGAAAGTTACATTATGTTTGAGTGATTGCTTTCTATTTATTTATATCTTGAATAAGTTCACTCAATAAAGCTAATTTTAGTAACAATGACTGATAAAAAAAAAAGAAGTTAATTGTCAATCATTTAATTATACTTGGATACAAAAGTGATGTTCACATCCAAAGACCTAAATGTTGTATCTATCCAAATAGAATTAAATGTTGTCAAGACAGTCCATTCAGAATACCTATATATATATCTATATGTATATCAATAGAATGTGATTCAATTTCAATCTAAACTATTAATAATAAAACAATATAATCTTTTAATAATAAATATAACATCTATCAGACATATCAATGGCTACTTAAAGTCAATATATTAGTGTTTAATGTAATAGACTTTTAATTACAATTTTAATTCGAATATCTTATTGATAAACCTTTAATAAGATGAAATATACAAGTCATTATAAATATGAAAATTATTATATTATATTGTAGTGCCGTGCTTCGATCATAGTTCGCTTCGATAACCGTTATTAATACCAATCTTAACGGTGTATAATATCAGAAGGCAAAGGGAAGCGGCAACTACATTTTTATTGATAATCGATGCAGACCAGAAAGTTGTAAGCACATGAGCAACTGTAAGCAAGCGAAGCAAAGATGATACGTATTGGAGATGGCTGGGAAGCCAACTCATTTTAAACAAGCGTTAACTAACATTTATAGGCAGGCAAAAATGAGTAACAGACATATGATGAATAAGATACGAAGTGTACACATATGCGCTCATATAAAAAGTACTCAAGGTTAATAAGCAAATGATTAACAAGATCAAAAGATGACTCAATGTACAGGTGAATTGGCTTGGCCAGTAACTAGAATAAAGTATATGGGCCTAACATATGAACTGGTACTACAATATGTACTTGTTTTAATGGTCAAGTTCATGGATTAATTGAAGCTAAACTGTGATATGGATTACTTATATATCTACATAAGTAGTATATAATGATGATGATCAAACATTGAATGTATTTTTAGTAGAAGATCAATAACGAAAGAACGGAAACAAAATGAAACTGGTATGTAAATACATGAACAATGAATTCAGAGATTAATACAATTGATTGATATTGTAAGCGAAGTTGGATAACGGCTAGCAGTGAAATTCAGTTTGATGCGCGTTTCATCCTATTTGGGATTCATCAGATGAATGTACCTGCATCTTAGAGTTGATGTTCACTCTGGCACACGAACCTAGTATCTTTTGTTTCAAACATCATTGTGTTATTCATTTAACTACTGAGTCCTGATAGCCACTTGCGTATACAATGGGGTGAAATTTAAATTCACTTAATATTATTTGTTTGAATTTTCCCATTTGATGATTCAAACAAACAATACTTATTGTATTTAATTGATTGATAGTCTGCGAATTGACTATTTAATATATGATTTTCATATTCTATAGAGGTATTCTGTAATTATGTGCTCAAATACATTCGATTGTCTTCACTTGCCTTCTTGTTCACTAGAAGGCTACCATGGAAAATTTAGAAACATTGAAGTGTTCTATAATGGTCTAGTTTCAATTAATCCATGAATTCAATTATTAAATTATTATAATATCCATAATACCCTTCTTTAAATATATTTCTTTTTTAATACTTTAGATATGGCCAGTGTAAAAAGTCCATATAGTTCATCAATTTTACAAAAAGCACATATCAAGTAATTTATAAACCAATTTTTGTTCAATTTAAGTAGTTTAGTTATTTATGAAATAGTTGAGATCATGAGTCGATTGAAGTTAGACCGTTATCGAGAATCTAGAAGAATTGAATGACCGTATCGTCCTATTGTGGGACTCTTCAACAGAGCTCATCCATGATCCCACCCTACGAGATTTGAACCCAGGATTTATTAGTCACATACTCGAGTACTTAACCTCCAGACCACTGAACCATCATCTAACGGTGTTAATGTTTAACTTCAACTGATCCATGAAATTGAGCAACACATTCACCATTGTCTTCATTGAGTTGATATTTTACAACAGACCTGGTTGAACTCCACTGGTCACAAAGTTACGATTTGTCTAAAACACCAGTTCTTTATTGAATAATATACAAAAAAAAATTAGTTGCAAACTTCAACTTGTAAGGTATCTGTAGTAATTATCAATTCATTTTGTTTGAAATAGAAAAAAAGCTTTGATAGTACAAAAATGATAGTCGTTCGCCATATCTCTAATTTGATAACGATTTATCAACAATCAAAAACTGAACTAAGAACAAACAATATGGATACCGGATCATTGATCTAGAGGTTAAGTGCTCGCGTGAGAGACTGATAAGTTCTGAGTTCGAATCTCACTCACAAGGCGGGATCGTGGATGCGCACTCTTGAGAAGTCCTACAATAGGATCAAATAGCTGTCCACTGCTTCTAGGTTTTCCATGTTGGTCTAGCTTCAACTGACTCATGATGTCAACTTAATAATTTTGTAAAACTCTTTTTCGTTGGTCACTTTTGATTCAATAAATGCTACTTATTTATCTTCTAGTTTATATCATAGACTGATGTTAGTTAGATAACTACTGGTAATTAGGAAGAAGAAATGATCAACTGTTTCGTCCTACTTTTGAATATTCTCAACACTATTCATCTACTATTTCACTAAAATTTTCAGATCTCGCAGAAAGCGCTTAACCATCAGATCACTAAATCAACCATCCATAGCAGCTCCGATTCATTCCATCGGTGTGTAACTGCCTTATGATAGGCTTGACTGAGTTTCACAGGTCATAGCTCAGTAGAACTTCAGGTGTTACCTTTCAAAGTAGTTATTAGTTAGCTTATAATGATTGTTACTATAGAAGGTCGGTATAAAGTGTTGTTTTAATGCTGAATACATATTTGATTCTTTTGTTGTTTATTTAATTCAATTAGAAATCGTCGTTCATTAGATCAATTATTAATGAATGTTGATAAGACAGCAACTGATCTTATGTATAAAATGTTACATTTCAATCCACATAAACGTATAACAGCATTGGAAGCTTTAAAACATCCATACGTTCGTAGGTAAGTACAATTTTATTGTAGTATATCAGACTAATGATGTGTTTCGTGCAATCTGAGACTCGTCAGAAGAATATGTCTTGATGTTGATAATAGGTTCAAATCTTATTGGAATGCGGTTCAAACCTATTTCACTACTAATCTACCATACGATAGTGAGGAACAACATTAGACTGAATAAGAATTACTATTAGTTTTTCATTACTAAGTTGAAGATAAGGTTGTTCGTAACATTATCAATCACCTTTCCGTCCATGTAACTTGTGAGTACTCTATAATTGTCTAATTTACATTTGGAATTTCATTTCAACTTCTTACTTTTATTATATTTGAGCTTTTCATATGGCATGTTGAACTGATCTAAAGTGACTTGTTTATAGCAGACTGTTGTGGATGATTCCAGAGGCCCGAAATAAAGACTTAGATGAAACCTCCTCTTTAATGTACAGTAGTCATCCACCAAATGAACAGAACAATGACCAGGAAGTCTGAGTTCAACACAAAATGTTTGGTTGCGATCTCATTTACAAAAGGGTCATATCTATACAATTTTACTGACCATTTTCGATCCCATTTGATATTGATGAGGAATTATGAAATTACAGTTCTTTTATTATAACCTTGTATATGTTCAAAAGCATAATTGTGTTAGTAAATAATTGAATAAGATGAAACAAATACGAGAGTATGCAAAAATGCAAAGTGGCTAGCAGTCGAATCCAGAATGCGCGTTTCGTCCTATTTGAGACTCTTCAGCCGAATGTACCTACATCTCAGAGTTGATGCACATATTCCAACAAGGGACTGATGAATTTCCGTCCTAAAGTGGCTATCAGGACTCAGTAGCTGAGTGGATAACGCCATGGCGTTAGAAGCGAAAGCTACTGGATTCGAGTCCCAGAGTGAACATCAACTCTGAGATGTAGGTACATCCAGCTGACGAGTCCCAAATAGAACGAAACGCGCTTCTTGGATTCCACTGCTGGCCACTATCCATCTTTGCTTATAAAGCTTGTGACTTTAGGCAATATTGGGGCAGTCGGCACAGGATGCACATATGCTAACAAGAGACTGATCAATTGCAGTCCTAAATAACAATGGGAAGATACAAGTGAGCAACACCAATTGAATTCAAATACGAGAATGTTCTAGGATACATACACTTCATACTTTTATTAATACTAACAGATGAAAAGAGTTAGAAAGCATCATATTGGTACATAAATAGTACGCAAAAGGTACCATTCATAATTCTCTTCAGGATATAACACTATGATATACACATATCTAAGTTTATATGTATGAGGACGGTCCACAGGTGATCTTGAGGAAGCTCTACGAAGCTCAGAAAGAGTTGAACATATTCAATCCAATCAGCTTTGAAAGAATATTCCAGAATCACTGCGTGTAGCTTCACTATTGGACAAAGGCTAATAACCCCTTGAGTGCGGATTGGATAACGATAATGATGATTTCGATTTTACTAAAAACTATATATATATATATATATATATATATATATATATATATATATATATATATATATATATATATATATATATATATATATAGCTTCCATTTGAAGAGGAAATTAGGAAAAGACGTTGGGAGTGGATCGGACATACATTAAAGAAATCACCAATGTGCATTACAAGGAGATCCATAACTTGGAATTCGGAAGGAAAGCCGAAAAGAAGAAGATCAAAAAACACATTACTTTGGAAATAGAAGCAGATATGAAAGGGATGTATGTTAACTTGAAAGAACTAGAAAGGAAGGCTCAGGACAGAGTTGGATGGAGAATATTGGTGAGCGGCCTATTCTCCTCAACGAGGTGTAACAGTAGTAAATAAGTAAGTAATTCAAAAAACTTATAACTTAACACTAATTCGAATCAGTTTCTATAATGAATAACTAATAGTGACAACTGATAAAATCTATATTTTATAGTTGAAATCATAAGTCAATTGAAGCTAGACCACCATGGAAAACTTGGAAGCACTGGACAACCGTTTCGTCCTATTGTGAGACTCCTCAGCAGTGCGCATCCACGATCCCTCCTTGCGAGAATCAACTGGGTCTATTGTGAGATAGTAACTCACTGAAGACAATGATGGATAGTTGCTTAATTTCGTGGATTGTTTGAAGTTAAACATTAACACAGTTGGATGCTGGCCGGCTTAGTAGTCTAAAGGTTGAGGACTCACACGTGTCTGATAGGTCTTCGGTTCAAATCTTACAAGGTGGGATAGTGGATACACACTGCTGAAGAGTCCCACAGTATGACGAAACGGAGGTCTAATGCCTCTAGGTTTACCGTAGTGGTCTAGCTTCAATTAATTCATGAATTCAACTATAAAATTACTAGAATCTCCACAAAACACCCTTCTAATTGATTTATTCTTCTTTTTTTCTTCGTTTCCTTCATCTTTCTTCATGATTTCAAAGATTTTACTCTCCAAATGAAATAATGATCATGAATCATCATGTAACTCCACCGTTAGATGATAATGTTCAATTAACTGTTTCTGAATATCGTGATCGTTTATATCAAGTAAGTGATTTAGAAATTATATTAATATACTTTTAAATATTGATAATGAGACTATATAATTAATGGATAACTATTGAGGACACGGTGGATCAGATGCAGATGTGAGGGCGAGGATCGGCGAAGCACGAGCAGCATATTTACGACTGAAGAACGTCTGGAACTCAAAACAATTGTCAACCGACACCAAGATCAGAATTTTCAGTACAAATGTCAAAACAGTTCTACTGTATGGGACGGAAACCTGGAAAAACTACGAAAGCCATCATCCAGAAGATACAGGTGTTTATTAACAGTTGTCTACGCAAGATACTTCGGATCCGATGGTCAGAAACTATCAGCAACAAGTTACTGTGGGAGACAACAAACCAGATTCCAGCGCAGGAAGAAATCAAGAAGAAGTGCTGGAAGTGAATTCGGCGCACTTTGAGGAAATCACCCAATTGCGTCACAAGACAAGCCCTCACATGGAGTCCTGAAGGCCATAGGAGAAGAGGAAGAGCAAAGAACACATTACGTCGAGAAATGGAGACAGACATGAGAAGAATGAACAAAAGTTGGATACGACTAGAAAAGAAGGCCCAGGACAGAGTGGATTACAGAATGCTGGTCAGTGGCCTATGTTCCATTGGGAGTAACAGGCGTAAGTAAAATAAGTAATTAAGTATTAAGGACGTTAGAGCCCCAGAACTCACTTGGGAAAGATCCTAATTATATTGACATAAGTTGTATATAATGCGAGTCAGAAATAGAATATCTGACAGCATAAGGTTGAGAAGATCCAAGAGGGAAAAATGGGACCAGAAAGTAATTTATATGGAAATACAGGAACAATAAAGTCTGAGACGATTCATTGATATTTACAAAAGGAACAGTCAAGTTGAAAACAAGATACAAGACCAATTATGAAGGGAACAAAATACTTCAGAAAGTTTTTAACACCCATAAAGAAAGATTAACATCAGAAGCTTTGTATATATAGGCCAAAAAGAATAGCCCGAACTGAAAGGATGGTATTCAAGTAGGAAATACTTAGCAAATATTCGTTAACAAGTAATTGGACCCATTCTTTATTCAACCTGTTTGTTATATTCTAGTGAAGATTAAACTAGGAGTAACTTCCGGGACCTATTAAGGAACTATCATTCTATATATATTCTTATTGTATAACTATTGAGTAACTAGATTGTGTATATCTGTATATTCATCTTATTACAAGCTTCAGTTTGACCTATGGACTATTATCAAACGAATTACTGTCGTTAAATCATATTCAGTTTATTGATTATTGTATCCCACGTTCACAGCCACACTTTGTCTTGATCTTGGATAAATGTTATTTCCTATTTTCTGGTGTGATGTGGTCTGTCTGTCTGGTATATAAACAGAGTATACTTGAAATAAATGATTTGTATAGTAGGTGCTATTGGTGTTCTGGATTCAACTGGACAGACTAGGCAAGAGATAGGACCAATAAGGACGCTAGGCTGCTCATACATGTCGAACGTCATTGGTTTGGCACTGTACTAAAATTGAATAAGTCATATTTCGATTGATGAATAGACCAAAGGATAAAAAGCCGTCCTTAAATTCACAACATACTGTTTATTTTACATTCATTTTTATTCTGATTCAAATGAATCTGGATAATTTCTAGCGATATAATTAACACCATCGGATACCGGATCAGTAGTCTAGTGGTTAAGTGCTCTAGCGTGAGACTGATAAGTCTTGACTTCAAATCTCGCGGAGTGGGATCGTGGATGCGCACTGCTGGGAAGTTCCACAATAGGATGGAACGGCCGTCCAGTGCATCCAGGTTTCCCATGGTGGTGTAGCTTCAATTGACTCATGATTTCAAGTATGAAAATTATGTATTTGATGATTCTCATTTTACATGTAAATCAATGATTCGGAGATCATTTTTCAACCTTCAACCTGCACTTTTATTTTTCCTTCATATATCAACCATTAATAGCTCAATCTTACTTGCTTACTTACGCCTGTTACTCCCAAAGGAGCATAGGCCGCTGACCAGCTTTCTCCAACCCACTCTGTCCTGTTTTATGACCTTGATTTCGATTATTACCCTGAAGAAGTTCAGACAAGTTTGTTGGACGAAACGTCGAGATTATTTAAATTTTAATCGTATGTCATGACTTTCTATACTTGGCATCCAAGTTTCTGTCAAACTATTCTTTCTAATATTGATGAATATTCATACAAGCTTGATAGGTTCTATATTTATGGTACATACTATCGTAATGAATATTAAACTTTGAAAAGAAATCAATCATTAGTATTGAGATGGATGGTATTGTCAAGTGTCATTATACATCCCTTTGAACACCTTTAGAGAGCATTTTGATTCTTATTATTTAGTGCGCGGTAGGGAACATTACTTGTTTGTTAATTGCACAAGCAAATGGTAATCAAGACTCAGTGGCTAAGTAGATAACGTGATGACGTTTGAAGTGAGCGGTACTGGGACCGAATCGCAAAGTGAACATCAACTTTGTGATGCAGGTACATCCAGCTGACGAGCCGCAAATAGGAGGAAACGCGTTTCCTGGATTCCACTACTAAACACTATCCATCTTTGCTTATAATGCTTGTGAAGGTTTTGAATTCCATAACTTTTAAAGTCGGAGTTATGTACTTTAGCGAAGTACAGCTACATGAAACACAGCAGTTAGATGTCGATGATGATGATTTTTATCTAACATCAGCTATCAACGAAGATTTTATTCCTTTACATCAATATTCTTAAGGTCTGAATGTTTCGTAAGCTTTATCATCCTATGCAGGTTGAATGTAGGACAATCAAGCTGAATATAGAAAACACGATATTTGATGAAGAGGCTGTGGAGCCAACTGTAGTGTAATTTGACAACAATCAGATATTCCATTAAAACAACCGGCATTTCAGACGATGCTACCTTCTCATAATGTAACCAAGAAGCTAGCGGAGGTTGAATTTATAGCAGCGTACCTTATGTTACCCTACACATATCCAATGTCAGTGATAACACCTAAAGATTTCAGAGATATTACATTAAAAGCTACTTACTTAAAGATAGTATGTAACTTGAGTCAGGCAGTTGTCTGCTGTGCTCTATGATCACTCCTTCAATTCTTTAAGACCACATGGAAGTCAGTTTCTTTTGAGTAGTGTTTAAGAAGAAGTATCCTCGACGGTATGAGTAATCTGGAAGTGAAAATTATCATCATGCTTATAACAAAATGTGATATCATCTTGTTCACGAAATGAATTTGTTACTTATTTGTTTCGCTCTTAACTCCATGTACTTATTTTCTTTCCATCACTGTCGTTATCATCACTGCAGATGATCAGTTCTAAGAAAACGAATACAACAACAACAATCATGATTCAGAATGGTATCAACAAAACAGATTCTACCGAAAGAAGAAATATAATCACTGGGATTCCTCAACCCATTACTTGCTCAACATATTCACATCATAAAAAACAATCTACTACGAAACATAATCCATCTTCTAATCATCAAACAACAATAATTAAGGGACAAGATCATCATCATGATCTTCAGCATCATCATCAACAACACCAGGAGCAACAACAACAACAATCGAATGAGAAGAACACTCCTCAAAGTCATTGCGACGACACCAACTCTAGTAAAAAGAATCATGTAGTATGTGTACAAGTGAATCTATTGCATCAAGGGACACAAAATCACTCAATCAATCATGATAAAGTGGCAATTTTAACACCAAAATTACCAGCGATGTCATCAGCTAATGACATTAATAATAATAATAATAGTACGAATTGCAATATTACTGGGTTCAATAATAATGCCAATCAATTACACAATGGTCATCATATTAACGATAATATTAATGATTATGATTATGATGACAACGTGAATGATGATGATAATTATAATGTACTTCATCGATCAGCATCATCATCGCTGCCGTCGGCGATACCATCTTTGACAGGAGCAGCTGTAATGGCAAAGGCTACAACAATTCCATTAAAACAGCAATATCAAACACGATCATTATCTCAAAATTCTAAAACTAATTCAAACTTATCAACTATTCATTATAGTCCAGTGATTCGTTCGAATTCAGTAAATAAAATGGCAATGAATGATTATCAAACGTCTAAAAGGTTAGTTACATGATAAAATAGTCCATTAATTGTTAATTTTATAAATGTTCATAGTTGAAATCATGATTCCATTGAAGCTAGACCACCATGGAAAACTTGTTAGCGAGTGAGGGACCGTGGATGCGTACTGCTGAGGAGTCCAAAAATAGGACAAAATGACCGTCGTCCAGTGCTTCCAGGTTTTCCACAGTGGTCTAGCTTCAATTGACTCATGAATTCATCTATAAAATTACTAAAATCTCCACAAAACATCCTTCTGAGAATGACAAAGAGTCAGTTGTTCAGGGCTCCTTAGTTTGCTTTTACCTATAAACAAACAATATATATTAAAGCAATTATGACAACCTCTTCAAATAAGATGTTTATTGCGAAGTGAATGCTATGAAATTGTTGAATAAATGACAAGCTATTGTCAATATTTACAAGTTGATTATACATATAGATGATGACTGACAGTAAAGTATTAAACATGAGTTTTATCCTATTTGAAGTTTGCTAGAATTGTACCTAACGTTTCAACAATGAAATACATAGACAAAAAGATGGAACCTAAAAATCTGATCCACAAGACAGTGGAGCAACGTCAGGAGATGCAGTCCTATAGTAGCCGTCGATCAACGATTGATTTTATATACCGCTTGTTCCATCAGGATAATGGAGCCCACGTGCACCATTGGTTTGAAATCGGGCTTTTCCAACTCCCCTAAGTGTACTCGCCGTGTGCACTAACCCGGTTAAAGCGCCGGACATTCGCTTTTCGTCCTCTCACTTTCGTAAACAGCAATAATGCCAAGAGAAGGCAGTGAGTAGGACTTCCCTGGTAGAGGCTATATATTCGCTGGCCATGTGAGAGCATTTGGAGAGGGATAGCCGACTCTCCCCACTCTCGGCCTTATTAGGGCATTTGGAGGTAGGAAATCGGTTCCTACAATTACATTATGTAAACATCTTGTATCTGAGTTAATATCAAAAAACAATGTTCACAGCTTTGAAAAGATAACTAGTGAAAACTAGGAAATTTTGAAATTTATTTTACTCTTATTATAAGACTCAATAAGTAGCTCATATTGATAAGATCATTGTCCAGTACTTCTTTATTTTCAATGGTTATCTAAACAAAGTTGACATGTATCAGTAAACAACTTCAGAGCTTATAACTTCAGTCAATATCAAGGCAGTTCGCATAAGATGCACATATGTCAACAAGAATGTGATTAACTGTAATCCTAAATAACAATGAGAAGATACAAATAAACAATACCAAGTGAATTTAAACTTCACCCGATTACACAAGCAAGTGGCTATCAGGACTCGATAGCTAAGAGGATAACGTGATGGCGTATGAAGCGAACAGTACTGGGTTTGAGTCCCCATAGTGGACATCAACAAGTCTGTGATGTAGATATATTCAACTGACGAGTCCGAAATAGAACGAAACGCATGTCAAACTGGATTCCACTATTAACCACCATTCATTTTTCCTTATATCCTTTCGGAGTAGTTATCCATTATACCAAATATTACGTAATAATCTCATTACCATTTCATTCATTTGACTTGTCTTTTTTTCTTTTAGATATTTAACAATTACACCATTATATTATCCAAATCAATTTATCTCCAAATTAGACGTTGTTAAATCAACTCCAACTACCAATCAACAGTCATACAGTAATCTAAATTATACTACTACTACTACTACTATTAATACTACTAATCGTAGTAAAAGTAGTAATAGTCAATCAAGATTATCTAAACAATCGAATAGAAATTCCAATAAAAATTCCCGTATTACAACATCTAATTATTATTATTATACACCTAATGGAATAGATAATTCTTCTTCTTCATTATTATTATTACCTAATTATGGGAATTCATATGAAAATATTATGGTAAGTGTAAATAAGTGATGTTAATCATCAAGTTAGACCATCATGGGAAACCTGGAAGTACTGGACTGCCGTTTCGTCCTATTGTGAGACTCTTCAGCAGTGCGTATCCACAATCCCGCCTCATGAGATTCGAACCTAGGATCTAATAATCTCGTGCGCTAGCGCTTAATCATATGCTCACTAGTGACTGGTTTCAAGAGATATTTCCTGGAATTCTAATGAGAAACTGTGATCAATAGAGTACAACCAGGTATGTTGTGAGAATATCAACTCACTGATGGCAATAATGGGCGGTTTCTCAATTTAGTGGATCGGTTGATGTTAGACATTAACGCGTTGGATGACGGCTCAATGCTCTGAAGGTTAAGCGTTCGTGCGTGAGACTGATAGGTCCTGGGTTCAAATCTTCCGGTGGTCTAGCTTCAATTGATTCATGATTTCAACTATATAAAAAATTACTAAAATCTCCGAAAACCTTCTTCTGATAATAATTGTATATACTGAATATTCTTTTATTAATGTAAATCAATAAACTGAAAGATAATAAATTGTGACCAATTGTCATGAAAGTATCTACCCATATATTATTTACATCTACTACAGTCAATGAGAACATAAGTGAGGGACAATCGAATGTACCAGGATACAAAATTACGAAATCATTGTGTAAAATCTGAGAAGCAAACAGTAAATACTTCATTATAAGCAATGATAGGTAGTGGCTAGCAGTGCAATCCAGGACGCGCGTTTCCTTTTACTTGAGACTCGTTTGAAGCGAAAGGTATTGGGACCGAATCGCAGAGTGAACATTATTATTTTATTTTTATGATTATTAGCTTTATTCAATATTATATTTTTGGTACAATATAGAATTCTCAGCACAAAGTACTTCAATAAGTTTCGGTTTCTTTCTTCTTCGTCCTTCCTGACGATAAAGTTAGCAGGACAGTCAATCGACATCTGGATAATGTACATTCTTCTCGCTGCATATTGCCAGCAACCACGATATCTCTGATTAAGCCTTCTGTAACCTTTACAGCGAAAGGTCTTACACTTTTCAGAAATGCACGAAATTAAATAACTTGTTGAAATATCTAGATGACAGGAACAAGTAGCCATGATGTTTAAACAGGCCGCCATGTATCGGGACATCAACTTTGAGATGCAGGCACAAAATAGCTGACGAATTCAAAATAGGACTAAATGCGTCTCATAGATTTCACTGGTAGCAGCTATTCATATTTGCTTATAGTATTATATCGAGGCAATACACACAGTATGCATATATACCAATAAAATACCGATCAATTGTAGTCCTAAACATCAATGGGAAGATTCAAACAAACAATACCAAGTGAAGTAAATACTTCATTTGTAAAATGTCAATCAATCATTTCAAGACTTCATTTTGCTTTCGTTTCCACACTAATCATTCTCTTTTCTTTGATCTTTTTATTATTCTGTCGCCATGTATTTTATTTTTGATTAATGATATATACTACTTATATCTGTCGACATCAGTAGTACATAGCACAATACAGTTAGGCAATGAGTTTTATACAGAGCAAAAAAGAAGTCTTTAAATTCATTATAAGACTTTTTAAAACTTTGGAAATAATTGCTTTACATTTCGAGTAATCTTCTTTTAGAATATCTCACTACTATTGTTTTCTAAATCGATAAGAGATAGTTAGCAACTAGTATAAAACCAAATTAACCAAATCATTATTATACTAATTGATTCCATTAGGTTGTGAGTAATTGTTTGTTAAAGGCTCCACATTAGGGCGAAACAGAAATCAATTATGTTCTATAATCAACATTTGTGTACAAGACCAAAAGTCTTGGATTCGAATCCCACACCTAGGATTGTGGGTGCTCATTGCTCTGGAATCCCATACTGAGACGAAACAGCTACCCAGTGCTTCCAGGTTATCAATGATAGTCTAACATTGATCAAAGAATGATCTCGGTTAGAAAACCACGTACTGGATTCGATCACAAGACTTTTGGTCTTGCACACAAACGCCTGACCTACAAAGGTGTTAACGTCCAACTTAAATCAACACAGATTTTTTTTTATTATCACGAGTAACCATAACAGTAATTGTAGTAATGCTATCTGACCGATTGTATAGAACCGTTATGAATGACTCTTGTGAACCGTGAACGGATTATTCGTATTCCATCTTTAGCGCCAATATTGACTGCTTATCATCTTATTCCTTTCTGTATTTGATTAATTTTTAAAATTAGGTTAATTCACAAAAACCCATTGATTTGAATTATTCTCCCCAACATGATAATCGTTGTAAATCATCTCAACCAGAGAATTTATTCTTGGATCATGAATATGAATATCTTCAAGGAATAAATAATCCATATGAAGAAAATGATACAAATGATTCTATTAATAATTCCAGTCAATATTTCTTGAATAATGAGAAGTACTGTTCAACACCAAATATACAAGAACATTTATTCAATAATATGAATATACATAAAACTAATCTATATAAGAATGAAATTTTAAAAGTTTCTTCATCTACTACTACTACTACTACTACTACTACTGAATTGTCATCAAAAATTGTACAGTCAACTAATAGTAATATATCTAATAATATTAAAGAAACAATAATTGAACGTGAGTTTAGTTTTATTTGAGTGACTACTTAAACGAATATAAGTAGCACAAAATGTTGACAAAAATAATTTGAATATGTTCATATGGTGAGAATATAAATTTATGGACGACCTGTGAACTAATCTTAAATCACCTTGAGTGTGTGTCCATTTTGATTCTTTAGTTTTGTATAATATATTTTTACTCTGTACTAACTGTTTACTGATTGGCATGATCCAAAAAATTGTCGAGGTTAGAAATAAATGCACAGGTTCTAAAATCATAATGCATACGTTAGACGAACTCATCCAAATGGCTCCATAATAGTCGATCTATAGAGACATGATAAAATTGCAGATAATATTTCAACCTCCACCATATAGCGTCTTTTTTTTACGCATAAAGTAATCAAACCACTGGACATTCAAAGCTTCATTAACATCTGTCAACATTGCAGCCAATGTTACTGGTGCTTTTATTATACAGTTCGCAGCAATTATTATAATTTGTCTTATTCTCAATTTGGATCGAGGAAAAAATGATCCTATTCTAGTACACTTCTTCATTCAACATATATTACATCACAAGACATCATCACAGTAGTCTGCACAGGGTCTACAAGTCATTTGATTACCATAATCACAAATCAAGTAACTTTATAGTAGTCCCACTTATTATAGACACTTACTTGTCACATCTTCTCTGAAATCTGATGTGAACCGTTCGTACGTGAACACCAGATACTGGAATTAGCGCTGTGACCTTTGAAATCCTTCAAATGCTTCTGATTGGCTCGTCCATAAATTATAGTCTCGCCAATACGAAATATGCTAATAAATATGGTAGTTAATAGAATGTCTTATTTTGTCACACTTCCATTACTTACTTACTTACGTCTGTTACCCTCGATGGAGAATAAGCCGTTGACCAGAATTCTCTAACCAACTCTATCCTCGATCTTCCAATTCTATTCTATTCAATTATTATTCGCTCTTCTCATGTCTATCTCCCATTTCTCGGCGTAATGAGTTCTTTGGTTTTCTTCTTTTCTTTTTGCGCTGAGGAAATCAATTGAGGGATTGTCTTGTGACGCATTTGGGTGCTTTTCTCACTTTGTGTCCTATCCACTTTCAATGTCTCTTGCTGATTTCTTTCCTAAATGGAATCACTTTTCACCTTGTTCATTATTCGCTTTGCCTCCTATTGCCTTACTTTGCCTCTTCGCATCGATTCGATTTGACTATAAATACTGAATAACGTTTAATTAAAATGAGTTGGTTAAAATGCCTTTTCCAATTAGTTTCACTTTCCTTTATCCTCTTCTCTGCCTTCACTCCATCTCCTTGATTCTCTGTTCTGATCAACCATTATAAAAAATATGTGGTGAATGAGATGAGAAGTGTACACATATACGCTTACATAAAAACAATCCTGTCGAAACGTAACTCAAGAAGAATGGGTAAATTGGTATGTCCAGCAGCTTGAATAAGGTATATGAACTTAACATAGTAAAAGACACTTCAAATTTCTCTTTAGATCTCAGTGATTATGGTCACTGTTAAATTCTACTGAAATGAAATTCATCTTTTGAATAATTAGCTTGGCTCCATAAACCTATTGTTTGATAAGTCTGTTGTGAACAAGAATTTAAATGGGAGACTAGTCAGTCGTACTTACTTACTTACTCCTGTCACCACTCGTCGAGGAGCATATGCCACACATCAGTATTCTCCATCCAATCTTGTCCTGGGCAATCCTTTCCAACTCTTTCCAGTTGTTATCCATCTTTTTCATAACTGATTCTATTTCTCGGTGTAATGTGTTCTTTGGCCTTCCGCTTTTCCGTTTCCCTTCCGGATTCCAAATTAGGGCTTGCCTCGTGATGCAGTTTGGTGATTTCTTTAACGCATGTCCAATCCACTATCACAAATAACTCTTACTAATGTTTTTTACTCAAAATGATAAATGATTCGATAAAGGAAACCTCTGACTGTTAAGTTTTTGAGTAGTCATGTCTTAGATGAAAATGTTTCTAGTAGCTGTTGCTATATCTGTCACTACTATGACCATGGATACCTAACTGATTTGTGTTTGGTATTGAAAACCTCAAATTTGACGTTGCATAGTGAGAACATAATGACTGATGATAAGGACCCTTCAAAATATGTTACCTTTTCAAATAAACAAACAATTTAACAAAATATTCTTTTCGTAGTTGAAAGCTTGAGTAAATTGAAGCTAGACCAACATGGAAAACTCGGAAGCACTGGACGGCGATTTCATCCTATTGTGTGACTCCTCAGCATTGCACATCCACGACCACGCCTCTCGAGATTCGAACCCAGGACCTACCAATCTCGCACCAGAGCACTTAACCGATAGACCACTGAGCAGGTCATCGATGCTCGCTACTGAGGAGTCACATAATAGGACGAAATGGCCATCTAGTGCTTCCAGGTTTTCCATGTTGGTCTAGCTTTAATTGATTCATGCTTTCAACTATGAAAATACTATAACTTCAAAAAACCTCTTCTTTTCTTTTACTTCATCCTTTTAGCTATTACTTATAAATCAATCGATCAAATTACACGTAATCACAGTTGTCACGGTAACAGAAATAATAAAGAAACCATATTGAGTGATACAAATTCAACCAAACAACTAACTAATGAAAAAAATTATGAAACTTCTTTTGTCAATCTACAACAAAATAGAGTAAATTAAAGTTTTAATACATTTTTGGTAATGGTTAGTTGTTTGAATCTTTCCTATTGATGTTTAAGATTGTATTTGATTAATCTCTTATTATCAGAAGGGGGTTTTGTGTAGATTTTAGTAATTTTATAAAGTTGAGATCATGAGTCAATTGAAGCTAGACCACCATGGAAAACCTGGAATCACAGAACAACCGTTTCGTCCTGTTGTAGGACTCCTCAGTGGCAGTGCGCATCCATGATCACGCTTCATGAGATTCGAACTAAGGACCTACCAGTCTCGCGTCAGAGCACTTAACTGATAAATCACTGAGCTCCGATTGATTCATGATCTCAACTATAAAAATTACTAAAATCTCTACAAAACCACCTTCTGATAATGATCATATGCTCACTAGTAACTGGCTCCATGGGGTATTTCCTGGAGTTCTAGTGAGAAGCAGTAACCAATGAAGTTCAACCAGGTCTGTTGGGAGATATCAACTGACTGAAGACATTGATGAATGGTTGCTCAGTTTCATTGATTGGTTGAAGTTCGACATTTACACCGTTGGATGGAGGCTGGCTCAGTGGTCTATCGGTTAGGCGCCCGCTTGAGAGACTGATAGAACCTGGGTTCGAATCTCGCGAGGCGGGATCGTGAATGCACACTGTTGAGGTGTCCCATACTAGGGCGAAACGGCCGTCCAGTGCTTCTAGGTTTTCTATGGTGGTGTAGCTTTAATTAACTCTTGATCTCAACTATATAATCTCTTATTGTTTCAGTATTGAGTTAAATCACAAGGGTTATAAGAATAGAGATGATCTGGACTCAGTATCTAAGTGAATGAGTAATGTGATGGTGTTTAGGAAGAATGGTACTGGGTTCGAATCCCAGAGTGAATATCAACTCTAGTGTGCAGGTACATCAAGAGCTGACGTGTACCAAAGTAGAGCGACGTGCACTTCTTGAATTCAATTGATAGTTACCATCAATCTTTGTTTATAGCAAAATGAAGTTGTTAATTGTCTTGTGTTGTAAATAAAAGTTTTGGGTTGAAGAGTTATCCTTGTCAAATAACTCATTCAAGCAAGTATGTTAAAATTTGAAATATTGTACTAGTACTAATAATTGTATGAATTTGATCAATTGTTTGTGACTCGGAGTTCTGACATCAATTAGATCGTATGATTGATTGCTGAGGAAACATACATGTCGTCACTTCTTCGACTTAACTCGCGTTGGTGAATAAAGGAATTAAAATAAATTAATTACGAGAACGGATTCCGAACACGTATATTATATGGAGACAGATATGAGAATAATGAACAACAATTGAATAGAACTAGAAAAGAAAGCTCAGAACAGAGTAGGTTGGAGAATGCTGGTCAGAGGTCTGTACTCCTTTGGAAGTAACAGACATAAGTAAGTAAGTAATAGTTATCCAATAAAAAAATAGATCCTAACGGTTACTATCCATCTTCACATTCACAAAGGAAAAAGCAAGATTCTCAAATACAACACGGAGAACACCAGCTCAGTCACACTTGATGGCGAAACTCTGGAAGAGGTGGAAACATTCAAGTACCTGGGGAGCATCGTTGATAAACAAGGAGGATCGGATGCAGATGTAAAGGCGAGGATTGGCAAGGCAAGGGCAGCATTTCTACAATTGAAGAATTTATGGAACTCAAAACAACTCTCAATCAATTTCAAGGTCAGAATCTTTAATACGAACGTCAAGACAGTCACGCTGTACGGAGCTGAAACGTGGAGAACTACTACATCCATCATCAAGAAGATATAAGCATTTATAAACAGTTGTTTACGCAAAATACTCAACATTCACTGGATGGATACTATCAGCAACAGCGTTTTATGGGAGGGGATAAACCAGCTTCCAGCTGAAGAGGAAATTAGGAAAAGACGTTGGAAGTGGATCGGACATACATTACGGAAATCACCAATGTGCATTACAAGGCGATCCCTAACTTGGAATTCGGAAGGTGAGCGAAAAAGAAGGTCAAAGAACACATTACTTTGGGAAATAGAAGCAGATATGAAATGGATGAATAACAACTGGAAAGAACTGGAAAGGATTGCCCAGGACAGAGTTGGATGGAGAATGCTGGTGAACGACCTATGCTCCTCCACGAGGGGTAACAGGCGTAAGTAAGTAAGTAAGTAAGTAAGGTTACCATTCATCTTATTCTTCATTCAAATATAACAAGTTAATGTATCTAACAACCATTAAATCGGTTCAATTTTTTGTTGTTTTTCCATGATAGAGAAATAATAATAATCCCCAATCGAATTATGAATCTTTATCATTAATCAATATTAATCAAAAATTAAAACTTATTCAAGGTTCAACTGATATACAAAATTCAATGTTTCAATCTAAAATATCTACCTCATTAAATAATCTTAAAATGAAATATCATCATAATCAATCACAATCACAGCCACAGCAACAACTTCAGCAGCCGCAGCCACAGGAACGACAACCTCAGCAGCAGAATGATCGAAGACGTCAATCAGATCATAATGGATCCAAGTATAATTGTATGAATCAGTTAATGAATCAATCAAATCATAATTCTAATTATCAAAAAACAATAAAAGACAAAAATGATTTAGATGTGAGTTATAGTATAAAAATTGAAATAAAGCTCATGGGATTCCTTTTTCAGGTCACTGATGAGTACTAGAACGAAATATCTATTTAGACTTTCTTGAGTTTCAGTGATTGGGTAATCAAAGTCAGTCTGTGCCAACATCAATTAAACCATATATTATGACTTTATAAAATAAAGAAGGCCGTATGCTAATTCGTTATTAATTTTATGTCCGGTTTTTTATCATGTGAATTATCCACCAATCCAAATATGACTGTGTCAAATCAATGATGTTCAACTGGTATGAGTAGTCTAGTGTCCTTATTGGTGCGTTGTTCGCCTAGCCCTTTCAATTGAGTCCAGAACACAAATGACAACTTCTGTGATGCGAATCATTTATATCAAGCATACTCTGTTTATATACTAGGCAGATAGACCGCATTACACCATAAAATTGGAAATAACATCTTTAGAAGATCAAGCCAAAAAAGTAACTGTGATCATGGGAGACTGTAATTAATAAACTGAATATAAGTTAAGAACAGTAAATCGTATAATAGTACTCTATAGGTCAAAATGAAGCTTATAATAAGATGAATATAGATATACATAATCTAGTTACTCAATATTTAAACCATAAGAATATATATTAGATAATGGCCCATTAATAGGTCCTGGGAGTTACCCGTACTGATGTCTTCGCTACGATACAATACCATATACTGGATGATAGGGAAGAATTAGAAAATTAGTTATTGATAAGTTTGAAAGAGTAATTAAACCATTTTCTAAATACAAAAACCTTCAGTTATTATTTACTATTTGGATAAAGGTAAGTTAGGTAACGTCATTTGTTCTTCAAATAGAATGTATAAGATATGTATTAGAGCATGGGATTATATAGGGTAACTATGAAGGTCGGAATGAATCCTTAGAACATTTCTATAATGTCGGAGATTTTACTAATGTTCAGTATTTTTGCATAACCCTTTGAAACACATATATATATATATACCAAAAATTCCTTTTGCAATGTTTGTTTGAATCTCCCTATTGACGTTTAAGATTACGATTGATCAAGCTCTTATTGGCATATATGCATACTGTTCGGATTGCCACGATATTACTTTAAGTCACAAATATTCTGTAGTGTTTTTTTACAATTGCATCTATCCAAAAATTTCAGTCCAATGTATACTGGCAGTTGTCCATGTGAATCACTGAAATGGGAGACCTATTAATTTAAATAACAAAATCACGATCATCATGAGATCTGAACATATCTTACACTAATTCTTGATGACATCTTCAGCATGAATTAATTCAAAGTACCAAGCATGAAGCGATTAATTATTATGAATGAATACAACTTTTAAAGTAAAATTAACAATATTATGTGCCCCCAAATGCCATGGTACGGCCGAGAGTGGGAAGAGTTAGCTTTCCCTCTCGAAATGCTCTCACATGGCTACATGCATACAACCACTGTCAGGGCAGTCCTACTCACTGCCTTCTTGTGGCGGGGTTGTTGTGAACGAACTTAAGAGGATGAAAAACGAATGTCCTGCTCTATAGCCGTGTTGGTGGACACGGGAAGTCCACCTAGCGGAGTTGGAAAACCCTGATTTCAAACCAATAGAGCACATTGGTTCCAGGATCTTGAATGAACAAATGGCTTTTGAATCTATTGTTGGTCACCGGTTACCATGGGACTGCAACTCCTTACGTTGCTCCACTGAATTGTGGATCAGATCTTTAGATTAAAGGCTCCGAGTGTGGTTCTTTAAGAAAACCACCGACTTCGGTCTGGACACCCGAGGAGTATAACAATCCTCACACAAATCGAATGATTCATGTGGCGCATATCTATTCGGTGCCTTCTTATATCAATGTTTATATGCTTTAATAAATACATACATATTTGTAATCATTATTTTCTCTTTAATTTTTCAGCCTCATTTATATCATAAATCCATTGAACCACCATTAAGACAATATACTTTATCTCATTCTTCACCATTGATAAATCAAGGCAGTTTATCCATAAAACGACAATATTCTGAATTACTTTCATTGAATTCATATACTACTACTAATACTACTAATAATACTACTAACAATACATCTCATTTACCTTATTATAATCATGATCAATTCAAATCCAATGAAAAACCCTATCAAATGAATACAGCAATTATTACTACTACTAATACTACTAATAATAGTAATAGTAATATAGTTCATATTGGTGATCCATCAAATAACCTTTTACCTCAACAACAACAACAACAACAATATCCTAATCGATTGATTTCCTTAAATATTATTCCAAATGATCAAAAACATCATCATCCATCATATTTGTCAACATTGAATTCTATAAAAAGTAGTACAAATTTTAAATGGAATAATAAAAAAAATAATCGATAATATTTCCCATTGGGTAATGATGTATGGATACATTTCATTATTACGTAATAGAAGATTTGATAATAGAAACTAGAATATAAAGTCTTTTCATAATATACTACTTGCTTACTTACTTACTCACCGACTCACTTACTCACTCACTTACTAACTAACTAACTAACTTACTTACTTACTCACTTACTCACTCACCTACTTACTTACTTACATACTTACATACATACATACATACATACTTACTTACTTACTTACTCACTTACTTACGTACTTAGGCCTGTCACCCCTCCTTCTCAATGGAGCATAGAGCCACCGACTAGTATTCTTCACTTCATTCTGTTCTGAAGCTTCCCTTCGAATTCTATTCCATTTATGTTCATGTTTCTATTTATATTTTATATAAAACTTATTAATTGTATGTATCTATATGATAATATAAAATTATTATACTACTGAATAGAAAAGATTCAAATCTTCAATATGTATTTATCTTCATTATATGTATTCTTAGGTTGCTATTCCTTCTTCTCCTTCTATCATTTGTACTTCTTTAGGAATTCATTGTACTATGGTAACTTGATATGACTGTATATATAAACATAAACATATACGTATACACACATATATGTACCAATTTGAACATGGTAACTGATTAGTTTAAATATTAATATAAATATACATTTTGTAATATCATTGTTAGATATTGTCTTCATACTACTACTACTACTAATAATAATAATAATCATTCGTCGATTGGTTGAGGTAGGACATTAACACAGTTGGATGCCGAATAAGTGCTCTGGTGCGAGACTGGTAGGTCATGGGTTTGGATCTCGCGAGGCGAGATCATCGATGCCCACTGCTGAGGAATCCCATAATAGGACGAAACGGCGTTGCAGTGATTCCAGGTTTTCCATGGTGGTCTAGCTTCAATTCATTCATGATCTCAACTGTATAAAATTACCATAATCTCCATGATACCCCTTTCTGATAATAATAATAATAATAATAATACAATAAACCTGTAAAAATGAAAAAAAAAACTTGAAAATGATCTCTATTCAACAATTTTGTTTGATAGTAAACACAAAAAAAGTTTGTTAACATTTACGTCGATCTATTACTTACGCCTGTTACTCCCAATGGAGTATAGGCCGCCGACCAGCATTCTCTAATCCATTCTGTCTTGGATCTTCCTTTCTAGTTCTATGCAATTTTTGTTCATTCTTCTCATGTATGTCTCCATTTCCAGGCGTCATGTCGATCTATTATGATCAGATAAATATTAACCGATTTATGGAGAATGTGAAAGATATTTTAGTTACAAATTAGTCATATAACGGATATTTATATATAATGAATAATTCATTGAAGATATTTGAAGTAATCTTACTAGTTGAGATCATTAGTCAATTAAAGCTAAATCATCATGGAGAGCGTGGAAACACTAAGTGTACGTTTTGTTCGAGTATGGGACCCCTCTGTTATAACGTATGAGCTCGTAATTTATATGAACATGCAATTAGAAAGGAGTGGATTTTCTGATCGGCGCAGTGATGATGCATAAAATCGTACGAACCGTCTTGATTGCGTATCGGCCCTGATATACGCCTAACCCAGCCGTTAAGTCCAGAACACAAATAACCGCCTCGGAAATATGAATCATTATTTACAAACACATTGGGTTTTTTATACAACCCAAAGTAATCAATAAACTGATTATAACTCAAGAATCGTATGATAATAAATCAAAGATCAAAATAAAGCTAATGATAAGAGAAATACGAATATGAATAGTTTAGTTACGTAACAATTGTACAATAGGAAATAGGCATAATACATTCGTCGATAAATAATCCTTAGAGTTACCATTCATAATTCACCAGGGAATATAACACCCTCGGAAGTGTGCACCTATCAGCCTCGTGCGCGAACGATTAACCTATAGACCACTGAGTCGGTCGATATCCAACTGTGTTAATGTCTAACTTCACACAATTCACGAAATTGAGCTACACATCCACCATTGTCTTCAGTGAGTTACTATCTCACAAGAGACCTAGTTGAACTCCATTGGTCATTGCTTCTCAATAGAACTTAAGGAAATACCCCGTGAAGCTAGTGAGTAGTAAACATATGTTTACTATTCTATGAAAAGTGATTTTTTTGGTAGATATTATTGTAATTTTATAGTTGAAGTCATGAGTTAGTTAAAGCTAGACCATCATAGAATATCTGAAAGCACAAGATGGTTGTTTCATCCCATTGTGAAACTCCTCATCAGTACTCATTCATAATAGTACAAAACCGATTAATTAACTATTCAGAATGAGTATTATCATTACATAATCAACTATTTGGATTGATTCTATTAAATAATTCAAACAACAACAAAACCAATCTTATTAGATACATTAAAAAATAATCAATTTTTATGAATCCATATTAAAGTAACCATTCCAATGGAGCATAGGTCATCAACCAGCATTCTTCAACCCACTCTATCCTGGACCTTTCCTTTCTACAATATTAATTAGAATACTCAATACAAAAGTATTTTAACAAGTTTCTTTTGCTTATTTCTTCGTCGATTCTGACGATCACATATTGAGTCATGATCAGCTAAATGTTAACAGTTCAGTCAATCAACATCTGAATAATGTACATTCTTTCTGATGTATACTTCCAGTAACCAAAATGTTTTTGATGATGCTTCTTCTTAACTTGTACAGTAAAAGATTGTAAATCTTTCTTAAACTCACTTGAGTAGGTTCAATAGACATGGGGGTTTCGCTGATTCCGAGTACTACTAAGTTGTATCTTCTCATTTCCATTGCTATTTGATTGGTCTTCCCTGTCTCTCACATTGTCTGGACGTTCCATGTACCTATAAAGAGTGTTGCTCTGGTTGTAAGAAGGTGCATCGGTCTCGTGATTTTCGAAAAATTTCGGCTTTCATCATGAGGCGTCATAATTATTCCTTCAACTCCCAGAGCAGAGTTCAAATGGTTTGAATTATTTTTTCTGGTCAGCGTTTTTTTAACGAGTTAGCTTTTCTACGGGATGGGGTCGCTAACCACATGCCAAACCCTCCTCCTTTACCCGACTTTGGGATCAGCAGTAACTCTAGAAGAGCTACAGGCGGAGTTAATTCAATAGACATAATGCTGTAATAAAAACAAACAAGCGAAAGACATAACTTGTTGAAATATCTAGATAGATCTCAGAAACAAATAGTCCAGTTATATTCAAATAGGCGGCGAATTGAATTAACGATTCAAAGTATAATCAATCTAATATAAGAATAAGTAAACTATTCATGGATCTTTAGGATGATTTGAATAAGAAAAATAAAAAAATACCCCGGTTTTTGTTTTACTAACGCCTGTTACTCCCAATGGAGTATAAGCCACTGACCAGTATTCTCCAAATCACTCTTACCTGGACATTCCATTCTAGATCTATACAATCGCTGTTCGTTCTTCTTCTTATGTATGTTTCCATTACTCAGTGTAATGTGTTATTTAGTCTTCCTCTTTTCCTTTAGCTTTCAGGATTCCATGTGAGGGCTTGCCTTCTGGCTCAGTTGGGTGATTCCCTCAATGTATGTTCTATCCACACACAAAGAAAGTAAAATCAATGTAAAGATGACCATATGCATAATTCAATGAAATATATAAACATATCTATATACCCATATGCCTGATTGTTTTTTAAAAAGGGTTTATCTTATCAGTAGTATTTATTAGATCTTATTGTGATAAATATACAATTTTCCGAAAAGGGGATTCTTTTATGGAGATTAGAGTCGTCTTTCATAGTTGTATTCATGAGTTGATTAAAGCTAAATTACTATGGAAAACCTTGAAACATTAAACAACCGTTTCGTTCTTGTATGGAACTCCTCAACATTGGGCATCCACGATCACACATACAGGATTCGAAGCCAGGACCTACGATCCGGCATTTGAACGCTTAACCTCTAGATCATTGGTCAGGTTGGCATCGAACAATGTTAATGTCTAACTTTAATCAATCCGTGAAATTGTGCTACCGTCCACTATTGTCTTTAATAAAATGTTCTTACAATTATATACTGTTATCAAGGTAGGATATTTGTTATAACGCCAGGGTTTCTTGTTATAACAGTCTTTTCACTTTTTTTACACGTATGTGGGACGTTAATTTACCTTAGACGAATATCTACACTAGGATTTCCCACCCAGTGTCTATTCTACAGGACTTCAACACACAACTCAGATCAAGAACATGAGATTAGCCTGACTAGAACGTCAATATATTTCCACACACCCAAAATCTGACACAATCCAACAACAAGGAACAGTCAATCAATATTAATCAATATAGGGGAATATATAACACAACCAATCATTATCATTCTGGCTGACACATCATATACAGATTCTAATAAAACGTCTGTGTTCTTGACTGGGCGAGAACAAATTGTTTTTCATGTGCTTACTTACTTACGACTGTTACTCCTCGTGAAGGAGAATAGTGTTACCACCAGCATTCTCCATCCAACTCGGTCATGGATGTTCGATGTTTGATTACGGTTATAGCTACAGTGTGTTCAACGGTATTAGTTCTTACGTTCCTCTTCACGATTTCAAGTTAACGCGTGTTCCATGATGTAGTTTAGTGATTTCCTCAATGTGTTGTGTCTTATCCACTAGGATTGTCTTTTCTAAATTTCCTATTTAACTGGAAGCTGGTTTGTTCTCTTTCATAGTAGCCTGTTGCTGATGATATATATACAATGGATGTTGAGTATGTTGTGTAGACAACTGTTTATAAACACTTGTACTTTCATGATGATGGTTTCGATAGTTTTCAAAGTTTCACCTGCACAAAGTAGAACTGTGTTGACTTTGGTATTGAAGATTGTGATTCCAGTGTTGATTTGCAGACAGTTGTTTTGAGTTACATATGTTCTTCAACTGTAAGAATGCTGTCCTTGCTTTCTCATTCCGCGCCCTTATGTCTGAATCAGATCCTCCTTGTTCAGCGCGGATCCTGACTAATTGCGTAAGAGCTTCTCCATAAACCGTGATTGAGTTGGTATTCTTTGTGCTGTGTTTGAGGTTGTTGCTTTTTCCCCTGTTTATAATGAGATCTACTGATACAGAGACTGCTGCTACAGTGTTTTCTTGACCTACATTTTTTGGTGTGTATGAGACGGAAGATCCAGTTCATCTGCAAGGTCCAAATGCTGACTAATAACTAGATAAAAGTTTACATGGTCATTTTAAAGTCTCTAAAGTCCATCTGTATAGCAATAGTTCTACTTCAAAGTTTTCAAACAAATCTAAATGTTATGAAGCTAGATAGTGGTTGGTGATAGTCAACAGAAAACCCTGGACCTAGGTTTCGTGCTACTTGGCACCCGTCAGTAAAGTGCACCTGTAATCATAAGGGAACTTATGATCTCTGACGGATTCGATCCCAGCTTCACAGTCACAAACGTTTTCACTAAGCTATCTAGGCCACGACTGACCTTCTGTAAGACTAAGACATTCGATCTGCACTAACAAGGACCTGGCACACATGACATTGATCACTAACCAGTTATCAATCAATTATTTATGCAGTCATTTAAATTGAGTTTAAAAATAATAAATCCACTATAGTAACCATGGTTCTCATCAACTTTAATGAAGTATCACAGTACATGATGATTGATTAATCTTTAAAACTTCATTTGATAAAGCAATTGTGGCTAACATCGAAAGTGCTTTAAATACTGATATTTCTGGTTAGCGTTTTTTTAGCGAGTTAGTTTTCTACGGGATGGGGTCACTAACCCTAGGCCGAATCCTCCCCCTTTATCAGCGCTTGAGACCGGAAGCAACTCTAGAAGAGCTGCAGGCGGAGTTAAATACTGATATACGGAAGAAATTAAAAAAAAGTCATTGTGTATTTAATGTTGTGATTGGTAAAGTAAAGTGTATAGATGAATGAGTTATAGCAAGTTATTAGATTATGAATCTACTTAACAACACAACATAAATGTTTAAGTTATAATCTATTTGGTTAGCTACAACTATACATGGAGTGAAATTATCACTTATATACCTTTCTTTTATACAACTTGTAATATGTTTACCTTATCTTCAGCTCTAGTGTAATGAACGATAACATAAGTTGGGACAATCGGAAGTATTTCAACGCAAACTTGACTGTTCCTTTGCAATGTTAATCAATCATCTCAAACTTCACTGTTCCTTCATTTCTATACAAATCGCTTTCTGTTCCTGTTCTTTCCTTCTCTATTTTCTCAATCTTCTGCTGCCAGACATTTTATTCCTGACTTGCATTTATACTACTTATTTCGATATAAGTAACACATCACTGTTATACAAAATCTTAGGAAACTGAGACAGAAATAATTCATTTATAGTCATATTCCACACCTTAACTGTTCAGAAGCGAATAACAAATTGGCTAAAATTCATGTATTCAACGCTGAACAGATGAGACAATGATATTTAGTATATGAATTGATATTGAACTTTTGTCGTGGAATATAAGCCGAAGGTATTGACTGTTGAAAATTGCTTTTTAGAATGTGTTGTGATTTTAAGCCGATTAATTATCACGTGATTTATTCGCCTATCGAAGTACGACTTATTCAATCTATGTACTTTGTTAACCCAATGACGTTTGACAGGTATGAGCAGCATGGAGTCCACACTGATCGCTTTCCTGACTAGCCCTGCTAGTTGAATCCAGAAGACTAATAACAACCTCCACTTTACGAATCCTACATTTCAAACATACTTGGTTTATATACAAGTCAAAACGGACCACATCACGTCATAAAATAGGAAATAACATTCATACAAGATCAAGCCAAAATTTGTCTGTGAATGTGGGAGACTGTGATTATCAGAATGGACATAACTCAAGAACTGCAAATCGTATAATAATATTCTATGAGTCATCCTATGGGCCGGCGACCATAGCATATTGAAAGCATCGGTTCTTGTCCGATCACCACAGTTAAGCAAATTTAGGGTCGTTCAATTTCTGCATGGGTCAAGATGAGACTTATTATAAGAGGAATATAGATATACATAATCTAATTACTGAATAGTCATACAATAAAAAAATACATTCAATAATAATGATGTAGTTGTGTTGATAATCATCTTGAATAAACTAATGTAACTGAAAACAAAGAGAAACGGAAGAAAGGGTTTTTGGGGATATAATTGTAATTTTAATAGTTGAGATCATGAGTCATTTGAAGCTAGACCACCATAGAAAATCTGGAAGCACTGGGATCATGGATGGGCACCACCGAGGAGTCGCACAACAGGACGAAACGTCATCTAGTGCCTTCACGTTTTCCATGGAGGTCTAGCTTTAAGTGAATCATGATCTCAACTAGGAAAAAGAGAAGAATTATTTTTGAGTTAAAAATAAAACTTAGACTAAATTAACTGTGAAACAGATTCAACTAATCTGTTTATTCACTTGGTATTGTTTGCTTGTATCTTCTCTTAGTCTTTTAGAACTACAATTAATGAATCTCTCTTTGGGTTATGTGCATTCTTTGCAGATTGCCTCGATATTACCCTAAGTAGCTAAATGGATAATGTGATGGCATTTAAAGTAAATGGTTCTGGGTTAGAGTCTCGAAGTGACACATCAACTCTGGGATGCAGATACATCCATCTGACGAAACTGAAATAGGATGAAACACAAGTCCTATATTACACTTCTAGCCACTATAAATCTTTACTTAAAGAGCTAGTAACTTAAGGCAATATCAAAGCATTCCACACAGTATGGATATATTCCAAAAAGAGACAGAATAATTGCAGTCCTAAAAAAAGTGGGAAGATACAACAAAAGATAATAAGTGATTTTAAATTTAACCTCATGGGACAACCAAGTTACTATCAGAAGTCAGCAAACGAGTGAATAAAATGATGGAGTTTAAAATTCAACAATACTAGGTTCGAGTTCCATAACGAACATCAACCCTGATATGCAGATATATATCCAGTTGACGAAACCCAAGTAGGATGTAGTAGCTCGAGTCCTAGACTCCAGTTCTAGTCAATATCTATTTTTTACTTTTTATAGTTTAAATCACGAGCCGATTGAAGTTAGACCACCATGGAAAACCTGGAAGCACTGAATGGCCGTTTCGTTCTATTATGAGACTCCTCAGCAGTCCACATCCACGATCCCGCACTCGCGAGATTCGAACCCAGGATCTACCAGTCACGCGTCAGAGCACTTAATCGATAGATCAAAAAAATAAATTATCAAATCCAATAAACACTACATAATATAACCTTGAACTCCGCCTGTTGCTCTTCTAGAGTTACTGCCGGTCCCAAGCCCGTGTAAAGAAGGCGGGTTGGGCATGAGTTTAACAACTCCATCCTGTAGAAAATTAACTCGCTGAAAAAAACGCTAACTAGAACTAGTGGGGGCCTATGCTCCTCCCCGAGAGGTAACAGGTGTAAGTAAGCAAGTAGCTATTATGACCTTGAATAAGGTTTTATCCAATCAACAATGATTTAAATTAGTAATGACCTTGTCCAATAAATTTAAAATGATATAATCAATAAAAGAGTAATATATATTTTATATATGAATTTGATTATATGTATTGGATATATTTATTACATAATCTTCATTTATGTCTTCGGAACTTGAACCTCATATATTGAAACGTTTTGAAATTGAGAAGAGAATAGGTAAAGGTGTAAGTGAAATCTATTACGTAATAGCTGTAGTTTAGTACTATTTCATATGAATCAGTGTTCAATTTATATTGTTTCCTTGTACTACTACTCATATGATTAGGTATAGATAGATTCAATGAACTAATTGACATCAGTTTCTTACTGGTTTTTCGTTTTTTACATCAACCATGACATTTGTATAGTTGAAATCATGAATCGATTGAAGCTAGACTACTATGAAGAATCTAAAAGCACTGAACAGCAGATTCGTCTTATTGTTGGACTCCTCAATAGTACTCATCTATGATCTCGCCTAGCGGGATTCGAATCCTGGACCTATTAGTCTCACGCTCTATTGAGGAACAAATTGAGCGATGAAATTTCTTTTCCATTAGTTTTTCATTATAGCTCTACAGTAATAGATATTTATATGTATGAATTACATTAATGAAATAATACACATCGAATCGGTTATGTTACGTAATAATTATACGATGACATATCCATTATAAGCTAACACAAGAGTATTATGATCAAAGATGGATAGTGGATAGCAGTGGAATCCAAGACGCGCTTTCCGTCCTATTTCGAACTCGTCAGCTAGATGTACCTACATATATCGAGGCAATACGGATAGTATGCACATATGACCAATAAGAGATTAATCAATTGAAGTAGTGAACATCAATGGGAAGGTTCAAACAAACAATACCAAACGAATTTAACATTAGAGTGACTGAAAGAAAGAGGAATAATAATCAAAGTAATTAAATTCAACTTAGTATTGTTTGTTTGAATCTTCCCATCGATTTTTGTTAGGACTGCAACTGGTCAGTCTCTAATTGGCATATGTGCATACTGTGCGTATTGACTCGATATAGCCTTAATTCACAAGCATGGTAAGCAAAGATGGACTCAATGGCCGAGTGGATAACGCAATGACGTTTGAAGCGAAAGGTACTGGGTTCGAGTCCCGGAGTGAACATCAACTCTGAGATGCAGGTACATTCAGCTGGCGAGTCCCAAATAGGACGAAACGCTCGTCCTAGATTTCACAGCTAAACAAAGTAATTGTTTGAAAATCAAACAGTTGCTACGTTGCATAATATCTCAACGGTAAAGAAAGAACTAACAAAATATTTTGATGAATGGTCAGTAGGATAGTAATTATGTAAGAATTATGAGATGAATATTGAGAATAAGTAAAATACAAAAATGGAAGGAATACAAAAATAGTTTATCAAAGTTCTGCTACTAACTCCCTAAATCGATGGCCAAGATAGCAAGAGCGGTTGTACAAACTTCTTCTGGATGCAAAGCTTTGGTTTGTGAACATCGATTGAGATGACTTCAGCAATGGGTAAAAGACGAACTCATAAACCTTGCGGTAAATTCAATGGAATATGGTAGATAAACTTAAAAGTTTTATTCAAATCAACTTGATGACCTGTGTTCACCAAATGAGCGAGAATATAAGTTTTAATCCCCTTTACCTGTCCTTTGCTCAATCATGACGGATGGTGTTCTGTTATACGATGAAGAACTTGCTGAATTGTATGCCTTATATAACTGGCTTCACAGGAACAGTTGAATTAGTAATTACAAACGAATGTGGCGAATTCAGGAAACCTGTCTTTATTAATCGTTCACTGCAACTGGTCAGTCTCTTATTGACATGTGTGAATCCTGTGCGGACTACCTCAATATTGCCTGAAGTCAAATGCTTTATAAGCAAAGATGGATAGTGGTTGGTAGTGGAATCTAGTTTGACTCGCGTTTCATACTATTTGAAACTCGTTATCTTGGTGTACCGGTACCTCAGAGTTGATGTTCCCTCTGGTACTCGAACCCAGTACCGTTTGCTTCAAACTACATTGCATTATCTACTTAGCTACTTAGTTCTGAGTTCTTATTTATAGTTACTAAAATGAGATAGTTTACTAGTTTGTCCAACAATTTGTATAACATTTTGAAATATTCCCATAGTTATATCATTGTATCAGGATAACTTACAAAATTATTAGTTTTGAAAACGCTAATTATGTAGGTGTACTTTGTTTTCCCTCAACGAATATACCTAAACGAATTACCGCCCCCCTTCCATTTCGATTGATAGTAGAATAGTATACTTCAATATAGTGTCTAATCTACAGAAGTGAAAATAGAAAGTCATTACATTCCTTATATACAACTTTTCATTTATATATTACCATCACTAAATTAACTATTTCTATGAATCCGGTGTTCATCTTGTTGTACTAACGAGGTATGACAACTTGGACCGATGGATATATGTGCCTGGTCCTACGTTGTAACTGACTGACTTAAATGCTTTATCATTACTTACTTACTTACGCCTGTTACTCTTCGTGGAGGAGCATAGGCCGCCCACCAGCATTCTCCATACTGTAGTGAAAGAGAATACACTTGAGGACACTACAAAATTACACAACATCTTGGTAAAATCTGAGAACCATTACAGTAAATATTACATTTACAAAGTGTCAATCAATCGTCTCAGACTTGATTATCCTTTCGTTTCCACACTAATCACGTACTGTTCTTGCTCTCTTTCCTTCGAACTTCTTAACCTTCTATCACCAGGTATTTCACTTTTTCTATTGATGATACCTACTACTTACATTCGTGAACATCATTAGCATATACAATAGTAAAACTCATACCAAAAGTGTATCCCATCTATATAAACAACTGAATTTCAATCCGTTTATCACTTGTTCGAATCAAGCTTGACTTGTTAAGATTTAAAGTGACTAAGTAGAACTATTAATTATAAATGTGTTTTAATGCAATTCACTTACCTGGAAGCACTGAACGGCAGTTTCGTCCTATTGTGAAACTCCTCAGCATTGCGCATGCACGATCCCTTCTTGAGAGATTCAAACCTAGGACCTATCAGTCTTGCACGCTAGCGCTTAACCTCTAGACCAATGAGCCGGCGACCAACGTTGTTAATGTCTAACTTCAACCGATCCACGAAATTGAGCGACACATCCACAGTTGTCTTCATTATGATTTTTAAAAAAATTTGAAAAGTAATTTACATCATAGATCGACAATAGCTCAAAGTCTATTAAAATTAGTAGATGTCTGATTAGTAAAATAATGTACATCATCCAATATCCATTCTATTATAGGTAATTCAATCTAGAATATTAAAAGCTCTCAATAGACTCAATGTTATAAATTAGTCAGTGAATTGGAATTTCAGTCAGATGGCGGGGGAGTTATGTGAATATTATAGTAATTTATTAGTTGAATTTATGAGTCAACACCGTTGGATGCCGGCCGGCTCAGTAGTGAACAGGTTAAGGGTTCATGTGCGAGACCGATAGGTCCTTGTTTCGAATGTCACAAAGCGGGATTGTGGATGCTCATTGCTGAGGATAAATAAATGACAGCTACTCACTAAGTGAAAACAATTTTATGAATATCATTTGAATAATTACAAGTTAAGACCTTATACAAAGGGGTATTTCACAATGATTTTTTATATATGGTACAGAACGGTCTTTAATCAAACATCCGATGTTGACTAAGTATGTTTATTATTATGTCAGTAAGATTTAAGAGAGAAAGTGTTATATCTTGTGGGTTTATGGCCCTATAAATATATGGTGTGACGTTGCCACCAATTGGAATACAGTGAATTATTGATCGGAACAGTGACGCGTAAACCCCCTGCGAGCGGTCTACAGTACTCATCTGTCCTTTTTTCTCGCCTAGCCCAGTCTATTAAGTCCAGAACACTGATAACAGCCTCTGCAATATGAATCATTTATTTCAAACATATTGAGATCATATATCAATCAGACAGATCACATCGTACCATAAAATAGGAAACAACATTTGTACAAGATTTAGCCAAATGTGGCTGTCAATGTGGGAGACAATAATGAATAGACTTATTATCCTAAACTTGATTGGTTCATCCATAAATTATTGTCTCACCCACCTAGTAACATGTTATTAATTTTACATAGTTAAAATCATGAATCAATTGAAACTAGACCACCATGAAAAACCTGGAAGCACTGGATAGCTGTTTCGTTCTATTGTGGAACTCCTCAGCAGTGCATATCCACGAAACAGCCGTCCAGTGTTCCCAGGTTTTTTATTATATCTGTTTATATAATTTAAAACTTATATACTTAACCATTGGTTGATGAGACAATAAAAGAATTACATAAGGGAACAATAATCCTCTCAAAGTTACTAGTGCATCATGTTAACAAGTGACGACTACCATCAAAAACAAAGTCAAGACGGGTTATTCTGTTGATTGCCTCCAACTACCTCACATCTGAACAACTGTCTATTATTAACGTTGAACTAATATTGAAATGTACCTAAGTACTTAGTTTGGAGACAACATTTATAAGAGATTATTATCCCTAGTCATTAAATTTAGATACATAGTTTCATTAATGCTTACTCTCCATAGTTTAGATTGACAAGATTGTCTTTTGATTTAGCCTAATGTCTTATGAAACATCGGTATATTCGATTTAATAGAAATGCCTCCAAGTTGTTGATGCAATGGTGTAGTAGTAAAACGAGATAAAGTTTCATTACGGCCAACGTTTAGTGATTGTTAATTGAACACCAGTTTGTCATGGTAAAGACTTTGTGGAAATTATAGTATCATTGACTAACATAATCCAAACATACATCAAGAAGCATAATACATCTATGTCATCCTTGTACACTGTGCAATCATTATACATGATTCCACCAGAGAGAATTGAATCAAGTACCTTAAATTCTTGTGACAAGCGTTCAATCTTTAGATGAAAGTGTAGTGTCGGCTGATATGTTAAGTCCAATTACCAGATTATAGATTTAGGACAAGGCACCTTACCTATCCATCATGAGTCACGTTTTCACCTTGTTAATTATTCACTTATCAATCCTGTCTGTGTTTTATACGAGCGTATTTGTGTACACTTCTTCTCCTATTCATCACATGTGTGTAACGTATTCTTATCTGACTATAAATATTGATTAACGCTTGATGAAAGCGAGTTGTCTTACCAGCCATCTCCGCTGCGTATCATTTTCGCTTCGTTCTCTCGAGTTGGCTTACCCACCATCGCCAATGCCTGTCATTTTCGCTTCTCTCTGTTCTGTTCCCTTCTCAAAGCGAGGTCGTGATTGCGTACTGCTGAGGAGTCCCACACTATAACGAAACGGCCGTCCAGTGATTTCAGGTTTTCCAAATTGGAGTCAGATCTAGACCCCCTATAGAATTGGATCAGAGACATTGAGGGAATCATATTTTAATTTCATATATTAATAATATTTGAGGAATATTCATATGATTTCAATATTGTCACATAGATACAGTGATCCCCTGATTTTATTTCTCATACTCTTTTAATCATTCTCTATCTTAAAATGATTGAATGATGATTATCAATGAACTTTAAGTAGTGTATTAGCATTCGAAAAGAAAGAAAAGCATTGGATTCGAGTATGACTGAGGATAGTACCATTGAAATGAATGTAAACCCAGTTGAGCAGTTAGATACATGGGTCCTTAATTCCACTGTTGGTTTCAATCAAAGTAGAAGGTCGAATTGAATTGAACTGACTATAATTAACATATACAATATAACATAGTGAATAAAATTCAATCACGATTTTTCCCCGAACAGGATTCGAACCCAGAGTCTCTTGGTCTCGCGTATGAACACTTAATTTCTACACGAAACCCACTTCTGATAATAATCATCATATGATCACTAGTGACTGGCTTTATAAGGTATTTCTTATAGTTCTAGTGAAAAGCAGTGACCACAGGGGTTCAATCAGGTCTGTTGTGAGATATTAACTCACTGAAGATAATGGTCGATGTGTCACTCAATTTCGTGGATTAGTTGAAGTTAGACATTAACACGATTAGATGTCGGCCGACTCTGTGGTCTATAGATTAAGTGTTCGCGCACGAGCCCTATATGTCCTGGGTTTGAAACTCGAGAAACGGGATCGTGAATGAGCTCCGCTGAGGAGTCCCACGAAACAACGTAACTTGCCTTTCAAAGCCTCCAGGTTTTCCATGCTAGTCAAGGTTCAATTGTTTCGTGATTTCAAGTATTCAAATTATTTCAAATACCTTCAACGAATCATTCAGTTTGTATGAATGTCCGTTGTATAACTAATTTGTAACTATAATATATTTGATATTCTTCACGAATAAGTTAATATTCACCTGATCATAATAGATCGACGCAAGGTATACCACGTTAGCGCTCTAGATCGATAGGTTCTATGTTTATAAGCGTTCCAGGCATTTCCAGAAGCCTAAGACCATCTGAAATATTATAGATATCCTAGATTTTCTATACTTAAACAAAAATTTCAGTAAAGAGTTTCTTCCTTACTTCTCAGCTTTTCTCTCGTGTTCAAGCCGCGGTGTAAATTTAGCCAATGGGCTATTAGTAGAGCTTAGGAACCGAATCTAGCGTTCAATTAAAAGACTCATCACATTCTTCCTATTCGTATCATACTATCTCCTAATTTGTTACTTGTCTTTCATCTTACTTATATGATTCAGTGTGATAGCTTGAAACAAGGCATAGATATAACAGACACTACGTTTCTCATGACTGAATGTTTGAAATGATCCTAGATAGTTATAATTCCATTTCGCAAAACTGTAGGGAAATCAATAACTTTCCATAAATAATTGTCTATAACAAACAGTGTTAAACATTACATCAACTATACTTAGATTCACTAACTCAGCTTAAAGATGTTAAGAAGTCACAATCGATTGATCACTGGGTGGTTATCAATGTCATGTGTTTCAAGTCCTTCTTAGTGCTGATCGAATGCTATCGATCAAGTTGCAATGTGGCCACTAGTCTAGGTGGCTCGAGGTAATCAACTATGCTTTAAAATTGTGTATTAATTAGATCCAACCTTTTGTAGAATTGAAGAACAGACGAAACAAAGATCAATTGAAAATTCATTATCTCTGTAAGGTATGACTACAATTGTCCAATCTTCTTGACATGTATCTATCGTCATGATCTATTCAGTTTATGTTACTAAATCAATACTTGGAGACAATATATTGATTGGTGATTATTATATAATAATTATTAATAAAAGTTTTAAAATATAATTCACTGAATTTAATTTTTACTTACGCCTGTTACCCTTCGTGGAGAAGCATAGGCCGCTCACCAGCATTCTCCATCCAACTCTGTCCTGGGCAATCCTTTCCAGTTCTTTTCAGTTGTTATTCATTCTTTTCATATCTGCTTCTAATTCCGGGCGTAATTTGTTGTTTGGCCTTCCTCTTTTCTGCTTCCCTTCCAAATTCCATGTTAGGGATTGCCTCGTGATGCAGTTTGGTGATTTTCTTAATGTACGTCCGATCCACTTCCAACGTCTTTTCCTAATTTCCTCTTCATCTGGAAGCTGGTTTGTCCTCTCTCATAAAACTGCGTTGTTGATAGTATCCAGCCAGTGAATGTTGAGTATTTTGCGTAAACAACTGTTTATAAATACTTATAACTTCTTGACGATGGACTTAGTAGTAGTTCTCCACATTTCAGCTCCGTACAGTAGGACTGTTTATAATTCACTGAACCTTAACTAAATAACTATAAGCTCTTATAGTCACACATTATGAATACAACAACAAAACACATTCGTAGAATCATCTTTTGTTTCTAACAATTCCTTCATATCCCCTTAACATTTGTTTTAATCTAAGGTTACAAATAGAATGAGATTTCTGCTTGAGATCTATTCATGAATACTTCAACATTGATAAATGTCATTAATAGGCAGTTCTTAGATTTATTCAGTGTTTCTAAACTATCTTTTCCAATTGCAATTGTAAAGAAGTTTTACTTTACTTACTTACTCACTTACTAACGTGTGTTACTTCCAATGCAGCATAGATCGCCGACCAGCATTCTCAACACACTCTATCCTAGGCCTTCCTTTATAGGTCTATGCAATTATTGTTTATTCTCCTCATGTCTGTCTCCATTTCTCGGCGTAATGTGTTTTTCGGTCTTTCTCTTCTCCTTTGGCTTTCGGGATTACTTGTGAGGGTTCGCCTTGTGACAAAGGTGGGTGCTTTCCTCGATGTGTGTCCTATTCACTTACAGCGCTTCTTCCCGGTTTCTTATTCTTCTGGAGTCTGGTTTGCTTTCTACCACAGTAGGTTGTTGTTGATAGTGTCTGACCAACGGATCTGAACTTTGAAATGGAATTTCCTTAAGAATTAGTTTCTGATTCATTTAGTGTTTTTTCTTCTCATCACTTCTTACATGTGAGAAATCAATAATCAATAATTTACCGATCCACGATCCCGCCTCGCGAGATTCAAACGTGGTTGCGTACAGCTGAGGAGTCTCACGATAGGATGAAACGGCTGTTTAGTGATTCCAGGTTTTCCATGGTAGTCTAGCTTTAACTGACCCATGATTTCAACTATTGAAATTGTTATAACCTACTTATATTACATTATTTCAGTAGTAAATTATTTATTATTATAATACATTTGCCAATAATGATTAAAAGTAGGTATTATCTATGTGAATTCGTTAAAATAACATTATTAAGTCTTGGTAATTGAACGCTATACTCGGTTCCTAAGCTATTCTCTTAACCTCTAAGCTATAACAACAACTTGAAGATGAAAGAAAAGGAGCAAAATATGTCATAAGCATTTTACTCCAAAGGTTCATTCATGTACAAAAAATATAGGGCTTTTATAATATTTTAAAAGTCTTTGAGTTTCGCCCGAAAATTTTAAAATGTTACTAAATATAGTAGCAGTATAGTAATCAACCAATCAGAAACTTTACATGTGACTTTCCATTTTTGTGATATTTCTGACACAACTTTTACTGAACTCTGATTGGATAAAATTCTTCTTAATGTTTCTTGAACCTTTGTTATCTTTTACAAGAAGTTTTCTGGATCACTCTAGCAATACATTCGGGTAAATGATAAATTCATATATATCATATATTCATTGTTATTAATCCAAATCTAAACTTAATATCAAGATTTCAGAATGTCTTGTTGAATGTCATGTACAATGCAGGATCTATATTGATAAAGAAACTTTTTAAACTTAAACCGAAACAGATATTTTACATTTAAATAAAAACGAAAAGAAAGTGTCAGAAAAGGGTCCCACAATAGGATGAAACGGTCGTCCAGTGCTTCCAGGTTTTCCATGGCGGTCTAGCTTCAATTGACACATGATCTCAACTATAGAAAAGATAGTAGTTCATAATGGATTTGAACGATATATGTTACCATTAGCTTGGGACTGATTAGCTAGATGTATCTACATTATACTGCTTATGTTAACATTGAAACTAGAAACCAAGTGCATTATTCAATAAGCTACTGAATCATCTTGCTGTCAATAGTTCTTTATATCATTATTCAGTTACCCCCATACTTTTTCATTGATTGCCTTTCTCTTTATTTCATCATATATTTTTTAGGCATATGGAATCGTATGGAAAGCGATTAATCGAAAGACAAAAGAAGTTGTTGCATTGAAAAAAAATTTCGATGCATTTCGTAATCAAACAGATGCACAAGTTTGTAAAATACTACTATTATTATGCATATATTTTTAAAATAATATTTGATTTTAAACAAAAAATGGATAGTGAATAGTAGTGAAATTCAGGATGCACGTTTCATCCTATTTATGACTCATCAGTGGGATGTACATGAATCCTAGAATTGATGTTCATTCTCAGACTTAAACTCTTGGATGTAGGTACATCCAGCTGATGAGTCACAATTAGGACTGAATGTGCATCTTGAATTCCAGTGCCAGCCACTATCCAGTTTTGCTTATAATGCTTGTAACCTAAGACAATATGAAGGCAGACTGCATATGATGCATATATGTTATTCATTTATTTAGATTGATCTATTTAAACACATAAATATTGGTACAAAGGGGCACCAAATAGATATGCGCCGCACTAGTCTCATTTGATTCGGGTGGGGACTAGTATATTGCCCAGGTTCCCGAACTGAAGCAGGTGGTTTTCTTAGGGGGTCACACATAGAGTCTTTGACCTAAAGATCTGATCCACAAGGCAGTGGAGCATCGTGAGGAGATGCAGTCCCATGGTAGCCGGTAACCAACAATTTATTCATACGCCATTTGTTCCCTCAGGATCCTGAAGTAGCCCATGTACACCATTGATTTGGAATGAGAGTTTTACAACTCCCCTAGGTAAATTTTCTGTGTCCACCAACCTGGTTAAAGCTCCTGCCAGACATTCGCTTATCGTCCTCTTACTTTCGTAGACAACACGCTGTCACGAGAAGGTAGTGATTAGGACTTCCCTGGCAGTGGTTGTATGCACGTGGCTATGATAGAACATTTCGAGAACGATAACAAACTCTCCACTGTCGATCGTACCAGGGCATTCGGGGTTGTATATATGTCCATAAGAGAATGATCAATGATAAAATTCAAACAAATAATACAAGATGAATTGATTATTACATTTTATATCTTTCTATTTACTTCATTTTTCTTTTCAACTCTTGTTTTCTTTCCTCTTTTTCATAGAGAACATTTCGTGAAATTGCATTTTTACAAGCATTTAGTAATCATCCAAATATTATTGGTTTATATAATGTAATACGAGCTGAATGTGATAAAGATATCTATTTAGTATTTGAATATATGGGTAAACTATCTTCCCTCCTTTTTTATATATATATAATTCAATTACATAGAAACAGATTTACATAATGTAATACGTAAAGGGAATATATTAAAAGATATACATAAACAATATATAATGTATCAATTATTTAAAGCAATTGCATATTTACATTCTGGTGAAGTAATACATCGTGATTTAAAGGTAAGTTATTGGTTATAATGATGAATGAGTATTAAATGATCATTATGAAATAACATGAATTGATTGGAAGTTACTTACTTACTTACTTATGCCTGTTCCGTCTCGTGGTGAAGCATAGGCCGCTCAACAGCATTCTCCATCCAACCCTTCCAATTCTTTCCATTTGTTATCCATCCTTTTTCATATCTGCTTCTATTTCCCGGCACAATGTATTCTTTGTCCTTACTCTTTTCCGCTTCCCTTCACATCATATTGTTGTCAGTTCTAGGAAATGTTTTCAATAGAGGGTTGCTGAACTGGATGTAAACTCAGTAGATGGCCGACGTCGAGATCAACAAAGTGGATTCCACAAGGATCGGTGGTGCACGGAGTAAATTGCTACACTACGGATCATCATGGAACAATCAGTTGAGTGGAAGGCGTCACTACACGTCAACTTCATCGACTATGAGAAGGTGCATGACACTGTCGATTGGAGAGCATTATGGAAACTTCTTTGATGCCATGGAGTTCCTGAGAAGATTGACAACATGATCCAGAACTCATACGAAGGAATACAGTGCAAAGTAGGGCATGGAAGACAGCTGACAGATGCATTTCCAATAAAGACCGGAGTCAGACAAGGCTGTTTACTCTCCCCATTCCTCTTTATTCTGATGATTGACTGGATTATGAAGACCTCGACATCTGAGGGGAAATACGGAATACAATGGACCTCTCAGAACTAATTAGACGATTTGATTGAGGTTAGAAATGTTGTAGTTTAATATTTTTTTCAGGGTTAGATATGATGACTGAAAGTTTTGACGTTTGATTACTGATGAGATTGGGAATGTGTTCAGCTGAAGAAAAATAGTTTTTCATTGATTCTTACTTTTAAATGGTTGTGAACTAAGGTCAGTCTTTAATGAATATTAATCTTACAGATAAGGATTGTTTTAAAAGAGAAATATATCACATTTGGGTGATCAGCATAAACGAGTAAGCAAGTTGTAGATTTTTTGATTTTGAATTTAAGACTTTTCGATTTCATCGGAAGTGTAAGTTAATCCAGAGTTTATAGAGATGGAAAACATAAACCAATCTAATTTAAAGCAACAGTGAAGACCCGGGAGCACTGGATGGTCATTTCGTTCCGGTATGGGACCCCTGAACATCCCACATCACTCTTTCCTAATACGGGATATGGAACAAGGAATAAGTTATAGAGATTTTATGGGTAAGATAAAAAATGTACTCACATACGCTTATATGAAAGTAGTTAAGGTTGATAAGCGAATAATTGACAATGTCAAAATGTAACTCCAGTAGAAGGAAGCTAGAATCAGCTGTGTGTACTTAACAAGATTGATCACATATTTCAATCTTAATCTAGCTGCTTTCAAAGATAAATGAATGATTACACAAGGTGGATTGCTGGATTATCTTGAGAGAAGTATCATTATATAACACATTAGATTTAGTTTAACAATATAGAAATACAGTAAATTCCTGGAAATCACTAAACAAGCTTATAACATTGAACGAAATGACCTGGTGCGACCGAGAGTGGGGAGAGGCCACCTTCGCTCTCGAAATGCTCTCACATTGCTATGCCTAAATAGACTCTGCCAGGGAAGTCCTATTCACTATCTTCTCGTGGCACCGGTGTTGTTTACGATATTGAGAGAACGAAAAGTGAATGTTCGGCGCTTTAACCGGGTTGGTAGATATGAAGGATCCACCTAGGGGAGTTGGAAAGCTCTCATTCCAAACCAATGATGCACATGGGCTTCAGTATCTTGAAAGAACAAACGGCGTATGAATCAATTGTTAGTCACCGACTACAATGGGACTGCATCCAGCAATGCTCCACTGCCTTATAGATCAGATCTTCAGGTGAAAGGCTTCGGGTGTGGGCCTCTAAGAAAACCACCTGTTTCGGTTTGGGTATCCTCACAAAAATCAAGCGGGATTTATGTAGCGCATATCTATTTGGTGCCCCTTTGTTCCAATATTGATGTGTTTCAATAAGTAAAGTAGACATTTTCATCATCTTCTACTTTCATAATATAACCTTCTTCAATTCCATTCCAATTTTTTTTGTTTTGTTTCTTTCATTATAGCCATCCAATGTTCTCTTAGATTCTGATTGTTTAGTCAAATTATGTGATTTTGGTTTAGCTCGATCATTAAAAGGTCGTAATAAATATGAAAATGTCAATGGTAAACTGAATTGTAAAACCTTATTACCAGCATTAACTGAATATGTAGCAACACGTTGGTATCGTGCACCAGAAATTTTATTAGCATGTCATAATTATACAAAAGGTGTTGATATATGGAGTTTAGGTTGTATATTAGGTGAAATGTTAATTGGTACACCATTATTTCCTGGTACATCAACATTAGATCAAATTGGACGTATATTAGCTGGATTACCTAAATTAAATAGAGAAGGTAATGTATTTTCTGTAAACAGTTATATTGAGTTAATTTAATCATTACTTATTGTTATTACTATCTCTTCAACAACACTGATTGAACTCCACCGGTTACTACTTCTCATTAGAATTTCAGGAAATACCTTTTGGAGATAGTAACTCACTGAAGACAATGGTGAATGGAGGCTCAATTTTGTGAATTGTTTGAAGTTATATACTAACACAGTTGGATGTCGACCGGCTCAGTGATCTAGAAGTTAAGCGCTCGCATGCGAGACTAATAGGTCTTAGGTTTGAATCCCTTTGTTATAGGGTTGTGGATGGGCATTGCTAAGGAGTCCTATACTACTGTATACTAGTAACGTTTCTCTCAACAAGGTGATATCTTTGGATTGTACTTTTGGAAATAACATCAGTAGAACTATGTTCAAAACTATCGAGAGATTATTGTTTTTATGTGGGTTAATCAAAGAGAAGTCGTATACACATACATTTGAATTTATTCAAAATTAATGTATCACTAACGATGAATGGTCATATCCAATGTGATTTAAGGATCTAAATAATTTCTATCTATTGATGGAAAAATTTTAAAATGATAAAATCATATTATGGGCTGGATAGTGGCTAGTAATGGCATCTAGGATGCGCGTTTCGTCCTATTTGGGACTCGTCAGCTGGATGTATCTGCATCACAGAGAGTTGGTATTCACTTTAAGACTCGAAACCAATACCGTTCGCTTGAAACTCCAACGGCTATCAGAAATCAATAACTAAGTGCATAACGCAATGCTGTTTGAAGAGCACAGTACTGGGTTCCAGTCTTGAAGTGAACACCAACTCTGTAGTGTAGGTACATCTAACTGGCAAGTTCCAAGTAGGACTACACGTACGTCCTGAATATCACTACTAGCCACCATCCATCTTTGCTTATAAAGCTTTTGACTTGAAACAATATCGAGGAAGTCCGAATAGAATTCGCATATATCAATAAGAGACTGATCAATTGCAGTCCTAAACATTATTTGGAAGATACAAGTAAACAATACAAAAGTGAATACAAGTCTCATTGTATAAAAAATTCTAATTAGTTAAAACCGATCAGTGATGTTTAGTCATACCATCTACCACAATGAAATTACTAATCAGACGCAAGGTTATTATTTCGAATCATCATAAGATTGTAGAGAGCGTCGAGTCTTGATGGACTATGATCACCGCTACAATGAGATTACGCGCCCAAAAACGACTTGGTCCCCTCGATAACTCGCAAACCAGAAGACTGTAACTGATCCAGATAGAGTATATTTATTGGCGACCACGTGGTATCTAAAGAATACCGAGACGTGCTAACGAGTACAGTCAGTAAGGGCAGAGCGTAAGAAAGTTCGAACCAACAAGATGGAGAGCGGATCGAGAAGTGACTTTGATACAGTTAAACAAGTACAGTAAAACAATCGCTGGTCCAACAGGTTACAATAATAATTGTTTCTATTATACCAATCGCGTTCTTGTTGACAAAAGCGGGTCACTACAAGATAAATTGTTAACTTTTAATATCAGTAGAAAATCCTACAAAATAGTGTACTGTATACTACTGATGTCAACAGATATAAGTAGTATATATCATTAATAGAAGGTAAAAACGCTTGACGATAGAAGTTTAAGATGATTAAAGAGAAGAAAACATGAACAGAGAATGATGAGCTTAGAAATGAAAGAACAATAAAGTTTGAGACAATTGATTGATTACATTCTCTACGTTCGCTTGACCCCATTTGTATATACTATATTCACTATAATAATTGTCCCAACCCATGTTCTTGTTCATTATATCGATCACTAGTGATCATATGCTCACTAGTGACTGGCTCCATGAGGTATTTCCTGGAGTTTTAATGAGAAGCAGTAACCAGTAAAGTTCAACCAGGTCTGTTGAGAGATATCAACTCACTGAAAACAATGGTGAATGGTTGCTCAATTTCCTAGATCAGTTGAAGCTAGACATCAACATGGTTGGATGACAGCCGGCTCAGTCCTGAGATCGATTCGAAACGGGAGGTCGTGGATGCGCACTGCTGAGGAGTCCCACAATAGGACCAAATGGTCGTCCAATGCTTCCAGATTTTCCATGGTGGTGATCTAATTTCAATTGATTCATGATCTCAACTTTATAAAATTTGAGACAGTTGATTGACTACATTCACTTGTCCCCATTTATGCATATTCTCGTTCACTTTAATAACGTATCCATAACTTTCTTATCATAATATTAAGATATAAAATACTTCACCTTAAAGTAAGCAAATATAACAATAACAATGAGAAGATCATGCTGTGATAAATATCGTCAGATTGAATGATTCCCTTAGAAATCTCTAATTTATTACTTTTTAATTTATAAAAGGTTATTCATATCTCTCTCTTTGTTTTTTTTTCTTTTCTTTCAAATCAATATTGCTACCCTATTGAGTTGAACTTGAACTCATTGAACTCATTCCAATCAGTACTGGATCATAGTTTAGATGACACAGTATGAAATCAGTTAAATATTCCATGGATATTTGATTCTTTTTCTATAAGTACTAAAACGAATAGGTTATTTTAGGTGTATCTCAATTAAATAGTGAAGTATTAAGTCAATATGGTGAAGTAGTTAGGGTGAAGTAAAGATTACTTTGTTTAAATTAATCAGGGACCGGTCAGTTCAAGGTCATTTCTGATTAAAACCAATAGCCGTACATCATCCTGTTATGATAACAAATTCTTGTGAATATGAGACTGACTGTAGTAAAATTATATGAATTATATAGTAGTAGCAGTAATATCGTGGCCTATTCTTCATTGAACCCCTGTCGCACCAATTAAAACCCTGAAAAATGTACCTCTATATAAATCCATGCATTTGAATCCTGAAAATAGGATTTGGGTTTCAAGATGAAAAGTTTATGGCATAAGGAAGTATAGATTTTTTTCTGGTTAGCGTTTTTTAGCGGGTTAGTTTTCTACGGTATGGGGTCGCTAGCTGCATGTCCAAACCTTTTTCTTTACCCGGGCTTGAGAGAAGCAGTAACTCTAGAAGAGCTACAGGCGGATACCCTAAGGCCGGATACCATCAGCATAAGCCTTCTGTGGGAGAGGACAAACCAGTTTCAAGCTGAAGATGAAATTAGGAAAAGACGTTGGAAGTGGATAGGAAATACATTGAGAAAATCTCCGAACTGTATCATGAGTCAAGTCCTAATTTAGAATCCTGAAGGGAAGCGAAAAAGAGGAAGGCCAAACAACATGTTACACCGGGAAATAGAAGCAGATATAAAAACGATGAATGTTAATTGGAAAGAACTGGGAAGGATTGTCCAGGACAAAGTTGAATGGAGAATGCTAGTGAGCGGTCTTTGCTCCTTCACGACGTGGGGTAACAGGCATCAGTAAGTAAGTATAGATATATCATATGCCTGTCTTGTAATAACATTTGAAGATTAAGCGGTAGATGAGAAGCTGCAAACAAGACATACTATTGGAAGAAGTTGATTCAAACATCTAGTCATGATTTCAATTTGCTTTCTCTTAATTAGGTCAAAAGAAACAATGTAATTACTTAATGATTACTGTACTCCAAATAGAGCGTCCTAGTTCTCTCTCAAAATTACCTATTGGTTATAATCATAACTTACATACAAATTACGTACGCCTGTTACCCCTCATGAGGGAGCTTAGGCCTCTCACCAGCATTCTCCATTCAACTCTGTCCTGGGCAAACCTTTCCAGTTCTTTCCATGTTGTTATTTATCCTTTTCATATCTGTTTCTATTTCCCGGAGTAATGTATTTTTTGACCTTCCTCTTTACCGCTTCCCTTCAGAATTCCAAGTTAGGGCTTACATACAAATTACATTCGACACGGCTCATAATCGATGTAGGGGTATACACTCTTTATCTTCCCTTAAACCTTGAGATTAAAATTGTTTCATAACTTTCTTCCTTCCTATACTACACTCTTATATGCTACCTTTCTTTTATATATTACCACCACTAAATTAACTACTTTTATGAATCCTATGTGCTAACAAGGTATGGCAACTTGGACCGATGCATAAATGTGCCTGGTCCTATGTTGTAGCTGACTGACTGATTGACAGTTAATTCGTTCAATTATAATTTTATTTGAATTCAATACTTACTAACTTACTTACTTACAACTGTTACTCCCAATGGAGCATAGGTCGCCAACCAGCATTCTTCACCTGTAGCCCCTCTTGGGGCTACTGCCAGTCCCAAATTCGGATGAAGGAGGAAGGTTGGGTATGGGGCTAGCGACTCCATCCTGTAGAAAACTAACTCGCTATTCAAACCATTTGAATTCAATAACTATTTAATAACTGATTTACAAACTTTTATTCATTTGTAGATATAGAAAGTATTAGAAGTCCTTATAGTATATCAATTTTGGAAAAGACTCATATCAAGTAAGTGATATAGTTTGAAGGTAGTACCTAATATCAAGTGAATTGTGTCAATGAATGAGTTAACGATGAATAAGTTATGATTTATGTGCTTAAAACTTAAGCCTACCAATTTTTACATGTCTATGACTTACCTACTTCTTTCCTTTCTTCCTTCCTTCCTCACTTACTTACGTACTTACACTTGTTATCCCTCATGGAACATCTGCCACTGATCATGATTCTCCAACCCATTCCATCCTAAGTTTTCGATAAAAGAAAAAATCATTCACATTCCTTTAAAACACATCTATTAGTAATATCAGAATGAGATTTTTTGGACATTTTAGTAATTTTATATAGTTGAGATCATAAGTTAATCGAATCTAGACCACCATGGAAAACCTGGAAGCACTGGACGGCAGTTTCGTCCTATTATGAGACTACTCAGCAGTGCGCACCCCCTTCTGATAATGGTCATATGCTCACTAGTGACTGGCTCCATGAGGTACTTGCTGGAGTTCTAGTGAGAAGCATTTACCAGTGGAGTTCAACCATGTCTGTTGTGGGATATCAACGCACTGAAAAGAATGGTGAATGGTTGCTCAATTTCGTGGATTGGTTGAAGTTAGACATTAACATGATTGGATGACAGCCGGCTCAGTGGTCTATCGATTAAGTGCTCTGACGCGAGACTGATAAGTCCTGAGTTCGAATCTCGCGACGTGATGTCGTGGATGTGCACTGCTGATGGGTCCCACAATAGGACGAGACGGTCGTACAGTGCTTACAGGTTTTTCATGGTGGTCTAGCTTCGATTGACTCATGATTTAAACTATGAAAATACTGAAATCTCCAAAATACGTCTTCTAACATACACCAATATTTAATGATTGAAATGAAATCCTTCAATAAGAACAGAATTAAAATAACAGAAACTGAATATTTAACAAATGTACAGTGAAAAATCTTTTTGAAATTAGTTCACATTAGAAGAAACTGATCGCATCTGCTGGGATAACCGGGTACGTAATAGTGAGGTTAGACGCAGGGTATTAGGGAACGATGGTAAATCAGTTGATGAGGTGATGAATCTTCATCGACTGAGATGGTTGGGCCACATGTTACGTATGCCTGAACACCGTTTACCACGACGCGTTATGATGACTAGTGTTGGAGATGGTTGGAAGAGAGTTAGGGGCGGCCAAACCAAGACATGGCATCAGTGTTTTAAGTCACTAACTTCTAGTCTGAGCCATGTTGGCAGATGCAGACCACCTGGTTGGGGTCTGCGTGGCTATCATAACCAATGGTTGGAGACTCTGGATGACTTGGCTCAGAATCCATCACAATGGCGTAGGTGTATACACTCTTTATCTTCCCTTAAACCTTGAGATTAAAATTGCTTTATATCTCTCTTCCTTCCTGTACTATATCCTTATATACAACCTATAATTTATATACTACTGTGGTGTGATCTACTTATATCCATATAAGTAGTATAATGTGTGGGTCAGACATAGAATGTATTTTGGCAGAAGACCGATGAGGAAAGAACTGAAATGAAGCGCAATCGTTTGGAAAATGCATGAGCAATGGAACTGGAGAAGAAACAGTAAAGATTGAAACAATTGGTTGTTAATCTGCAAATTGACTGTTCATTGTTTGGTAATCAGAATTTACTGAGATAGTCTGTAATGTTTGCTTAAATACATTCGATTGTCCCCAATTAGTGTTCTATTCACTACACTACTACCAACACTAAATTAACTACTATGAATACGGTGTTCATCTTGTTGTGCTAACGAGGTATGGCAACTTGAACCGATGCATATATGTGCCTGGTCCTACGTTGTAGCTGACTGACTGACTGAGAAGAAATTCACTTAGTATTGTTTGCCTGAATCTCACAGTTGATGTTTGAAACTACAGTTGATCATTCTCCTTGTGGCATATGTAAATCCTATTAGAACTATATTTGTATTGCATTAAATCACAAGCTTTAAAAGCAAAGATGGATGGTGGCTAGCAGTGGAATCCAGTTTGACGAGCGTTTCGTCCTATTTGGGACTAGTCAGATGAATGTACCTGTATCTCAGAGTTGATATGCATTCTGGGACACGAACCCTGTACCGTTAGCTTCAAACTCCATAAAGTTATCCACTTAGCTACCGAGTCCTGATAGTCACTTGCTTGTACAATAATTTGAAGTTGAGGTTCATTTAAATATAAACAGTAGAATAGTTTTCATAGTTTCAATGATTGATATTTGCTATCTTCAAAGTCTCTCTTTTTTTTTCACTTTTCCATTTTAGACGTCGTCCATTAGATCAAATTTTAAAAAATACTAATAAAACTGTAATGGATTTACTGAATCAAATGATTAATTTTAATCCACATAAACGAATTGATGCTTTGAATGCTTTGAAACATCCATATGTTCGAAAGTAATTCAATGAGAGTGATATTATTCTTTAATTATTCATGATGAATCTGCTTTATCGATGTGTATCTTGTATAGGTTGAATCTTCTAATAGAGAGTTAGTTTACCCTCTCGAAATCCTCTCACATCGCCACGTGTATACAACCACTATCAGGGAAGTCCTACACACTGTTTTCTCGTGGAATTACTGTTGTTTACAAAATTGAGAGGACGAAAAGCGAATGTCCGATGCTTTAACTAGGTTGGTAGACACTGAAAGTTCACCTAAGGGAGTTGGAAAACCCTGATTCCAAACCACTGGTGTACATTAGCTCCAGTATCCTGAGTAAACAAACGGCATACGAACCAATCCATGGTCATTGGCTGCTATGGGACTTCATCTCTTTACTATACTCCACTCCTTCGTGGATGAAACAATGAGATCAACGGCTCGCGGTGTGGCCCCATAAGAAAACTACCTGCTTCGGTTTGATGATCCGGGTGGTATCAGAACCCTCACACAAATTAAATGATTTATGTGGCGTATATCGATTTGGTGTCTCCTTATATCAATGTTTATGTGTTTAAATAATTAAATAAATAAACAAATCATGATTCATTTCTGTATATTCTAAAATAATAAATATGAAATGTTATAATCTACTGATCTTTGGTAGTAATTGTATGATTGATGCACTACTTGCAGTGTATTCTTTCGTTTGGACTATTTATATAGATAGGTCATTTTAAAACTTCTAAGCTGATAGTGTGGTGTGTACTACTGATACTAACAGATATAAGTAGTATGTATAAGAATTGAAAAGTAGAATTTTTACAGTGAGAAGATAAAATTGAAAGGTGGAGAAAGTAAAACAGAAATCAATCAAGATAAAAGAATAACAGTGTTTGTAATGGATAATTCAAGGAATATAAGGCAAATACAATGTGTAATTTCTGAAGATCCACATAGAAATTAGTCATTAGTGTACATTTGATTATTAATATTAGGTTAGGAAAGTTATGTACGTTTCTAAATTAATAATTAGCTTCACAAACTCATCATTATTAGATACTCATTACTTGATTAATTGTAGTCAGTAAAGTTCAAGTGTAGTGAGCAAAACACTAGTTGGGGACAATCGAATGTGTTTAAGCAAACATTACAGACTATCTCAGTAAATTCTGATTACCAAACAATGAACAGTCAATTTGCAAATTAACAACCAATTGTTTCAATCTTAACTGTTTCTTCTCTTATTCCATTGCTCATGCATTTTCCAAACGATTGCGCTTCATTTCAGTTCTTTCCTCATCGGTCTTCTGCGAAAATACATTCTATGTTTGACCCACACATTATACTACTTATATAGATATAAGTAGACCACACCACACTCGTCCCCTCTTTAAAGCATTCGACCATGCGGTGGTTCTGCTCGCCACGCCACTATCTTCTTTCACTGCAGTCTGTGCCAAACACTCCGTCAGAATGTCGAGTCTGCGGCGCGCTGACCTCCATAGCTCCGTCGACTTGCCGGGGCACCAACATCCGCATCCACCCGGCACCTGGGACGTTCAACATCCGTACTCCACCGCCCTGCTGAGCCATCTACATCCGATGTCCGCTCAGCAGCCGCACGTCCCACTGCTCCTCTCCGTCGACAGCACCCGCTACAACCAACACCGCCCCCCCCAGAACACTCCACTCGACGCCACCTCTCCGCACCAGACTGCCCCAACTAGCACCTCAACTCCAGATCCGGAGCGGCGTCCGCAGAACAGCACCCTTCCTCCTCCCGGTTGGCAGCGACACCAAATGTAGTGAGCAAAACACTAGTTGGGGACAATCGAATGTGTTTAAGCAAACATTACAGACTATCTCAGTAAATTCTGATTACCAAACAATGAACAGTCAATTTGCAGATTAACAACCAATTGTTTCAATCTTAACTGTTTCTTCTCTTATTCCATTGCTCATGCATTTTCCAAACAATTGCGCTTCATTTCAGTTCTTTCCTCATCGGTCTTCTGCCAAAATACATTCTATGTCTGACCCACACATTATACTACTTATATAGATATAAGTAGACCACACCACACAAGCACATTAGAAGTGTAATAGGAATCACTGATAAAAATGTCTTTCAATTAAATATCTTAAGGTATGAATATTTCTAAATCGGTTTCTGGTGAGCGATTTCATTTTAAAACAAAACTTTAGTCTACCACTTTTTATGGTTTAGTAGTTGTTCAATTAAACTTGTTATTGAAGTAGACGTTAAGCGGGGGAAACCAATTTCTTGTTCATTACAAATTACACAATGTCTTCATCATACATGTAAGCCATACATTAAGTACTTCATTTACAAATCATCCATTAATTGTCTTTTATAACCTAATTATTCCTTCGTAACTGTTTTTATTAAAATTATTCTCTGTTAACATCCATATTCTCTTTAATTCGATCTTGCCAAATTTCTGTTCGCCAACATCTCACTTTTGATTGAATTGACATACTACTTATGTTAATAGACATAAATAGCATATAACACAACTGATTACTTACTTACTTACTGATTACTTATTTGTACCTGTTACTCCCAATAGAGCACAGGCCGCCGACCAGCTTTCTACAACTCACACTGTACTGAGTATTCCTTCTTTTTTCTATAAAACGTTTATTCATTCTTCTCATATCTGTCTCCATGTAATGTGTTCATTAATCTTCCTCTTTTCCTTTGATCTTCAAAATTCCATTTGAGGGCTTGTCTTGTGACACAGTTTTGGTGCTTTCCTCAAATTGTGTCTTATCCATTTCCACCACATCTTCCTGATTTTTTTCCTTCGCTTGAATCTGGTTGCATATTAAAAAAAAATCATACACTGTTATTGAATTAAAAGTTTTTATGAAAATGATTCATTTTTGAATTTTTATTTCCACCCCCCCCGACCATCATCACCGCCTAGTTACTATTTATCTCATTATTATTATTTTTTTTGTTTTTTTTGTTGAAAATAATAAAATAGATTTTTTAATCCAGAAGAAATTATGAGTAAAAGTCATAATGTGGTACCACCATTAGATGATAATATACAATTAACTGTCACTGAATATCGTAATCGTCTATATCAGGTAAATGAAAGTTGAATATTCAAAAAAAAAAACGTTTTTTTTTTTTGTTCTTCAGTTACTTAATTTGAAAGTAACCAGATAATAAATTAGATTGGATTGATAGGATATGTAAAATACAATAATAGATAAGAGAGAAAGTATTTATTGTCAGGTGGTTACAAATCATTCATTGAATAAATTCAGGTTTTAGTAGCTGAATGGATAACGTGATAACGTTTGAAGTGAACGGTATTGGGTTTGACTTCTAGAGATGTAGGTGATGAGTCCTGAATAGGACAAAACGCTCATCAAACTGAATTCCACTGCTAGTCACTATCCATCTTTGCTTACTCATTTATTAGATTATATATCTTGCTTTCAGTCTTCCAATTATATCTATTAGTGTGTTCTGACATTTGAATTGAACTTTTCGTTTAATCTCTAAGTGTTCTGTCAACACTTTACTTTCAATACATTGAAACTATTCAGTTTATCTACTAATTGCAGTATTTGAGTCGTCATGTTCCACTACACACTAATTACAAATGATCTTGTGAGTAGTGTCCACTTCCATTATATATTTCATGGAAAGAAAAATTGAGTTCAACTCTAGTATTTTGATTGTTACTGGAAAATGGATTCACAGTGAACTGTAACGTTTATAATGAATTAAACAAACAGATTAGAGTTCTTTTGAATAAACAAAAATTTATAGGGGAAAGGAAGATATTTTAAATTGTATTCTATAGTTGAGGGATACTACCCCTAATTCAGGGTCTGAAAAGCTACACGTCGACATTCTAGAACGTTCCTCAAGCGGTGATGAGATGGAATGTATTCGGCTCTTCCTGAGCTTCATGAGGCTTCTTTGAGATCGCCGACTAGCCATCCTTGCAGAACAGACCTTTCAATTTATTCACATTTACTAAGCAACTACATTTTAAATCTTCAGGTGTACAGTTCACTTTTATTTCATCGTTAATGATTTCATTTAAGCTTAAACTCTTGTTATTCGTGCATCTGAACACATCAACATTTGAATAATAAGTACCAAGTTCATCTTTCACTGTTTACTTGTACATGTAAATGTAATTCAGTGTAGTTAATGAGTCCTTATTAAGAATAAACTTACATCAGTTCATGATTCACTGTAAAGTCTTGCTTGTTACAACTGATAAGAATATTCATAATAAATCTCATTCAAAATTCACTTGGTATCGTTTGTTAGAATCTTCCCATTGATGCTTAGGACTGCAATTGATTGGTCTCTAATTGACATATGTAAATCCTGTTCGGACTGCTTCGATTTTCATTCAAGTCAAAAGTTTTATAGGCAAAGATGGATGGTGGCTAGTAGTGATATTCAAGACGTACGTGTAGTCCTATTTGGAACTCGTTAGTTTGATGTACCTACACTAAAGAGTTGATGTTCACTCTGACTTGAACCCAGTACTGTTTGCTTCAAACGTCATTGTGTTATCTACTCAGCTACTGAGTTCCACTTGCTTGTGCAAGTGGAAGATTCAAACAAACAATAACGAGTGAATTCAAACTTCACCTCATTGCATAAGAAATTGGTTATCAGGACTCAGTAGCTGAGTGGTTAACGTGATAACGTTTGCGTCGAAAAGTACTGGGTTCGAGTTCTAGAGTGAACATCAACTACGAGATACAGGTACATCCGTCTGACGAGTCCTAAATATGACGAAACGCGCGTCAAACTGGATTCCACTTTTAGTCACTGTCCATCTTTGCTCATTATAAATGCTTTCACTCTATTGAACTTACTTTATTCTTTCTATTTTAATTCAAATAAATGTTATATTTAGATGATTAATTCAAAGAAACTACGTAAACATAATCGTAATAAATCTGTTGATCAACTACCAAATCCAATTCCTAATACAACACCGACCGAGAAAAGTGATGAGGAACTAACTGTAAGAAATCAAATAGATATGAATAGATTACCATGTTCCAAATTGAGAAATAATCATTTAGATGATGGGGGAAAGTTGGAAACTAATCAAGCATCATCATCATCATTGAATGTTAACCATAAATCATTCATTCAATCAATAAATCGTACTACACCTAATCAAGAATTTCATAACAATTCTCATTTAAATATTTGGAATCCTGAAAATATGAGACCTATATCTGATTTGGCTACATATACTGTTAAACCTAGTTCATCATTATCTGTGGTTAGACCTTGTTCTCATACAGAATCGATATCGAATGTTAACAATGAAGAATTGTCACGTGTTGGGTAATTTCCTTATACTTTTTTTGTTTTGTAAATTGCACTACTTAAATTTGATTAAGTAGCATAACTGGAACATCAATTACCTTGGTGATGTTGAATGATAATAACCGGGATATCTGACTTTAAATCTATCAACTAGACGTATGTGAATCCTAGTATTGATCTTCATTTATGACCATACTCGTTTCATGAATTCCAGTACTAGCCATCAGTCAACTTCCTGGGAATATGTGACTAAGTGGCAGTGTTCAAGGTTTTCACTTAAAATGTATATTAAACAACAGAGACCAATCAATTTCAGTCCTCAATATCAAACACACACAAATATGAAGCGAATGTTAAAATTTCTCGTTACTTATTAGTTTTCCTTCATATAAAATATAAACAACTTTACTGATGAAAGGTTCCTGGACAATTTAAAATATAAGTGTTTGATTCATATAGAAAACGATCTTATAATTGAAATCATAAGTCATTTGAAGCTAGACCACCATGGAAAACCTGGAAAAAAAGATAGTCGTTTCGTCCTATTAAAGAACTCCTCAGCAGTACGCGTGCACGATCCTGCCTTTCGAGATTCTAACCCAGGACCTATCAATCTCGCGCGCGATCGCTTAACCACTAGACCTCTGAGCCAGCAGCCGACGGTTTTAATGTCTACCTTCAATTGATCCACTATTATATAACTTCATATTATACAATACTCCATGAAGACACTCTAAATAACCATATATGATTCCACTTCATTTGCTAAAAATGCCTAAAGTAATTAGTCAAATCACAAACGTTGAAAACTGTGCCTAATTTCAATCCATTCTTCATGATGTCAATTGTAATCTCAAATGAAATCTGACTTTCCTCTAGTTTATTGTGTTATACATGTCTGTGGTTTGTATCAAAATAGTGAGACCTACTTTATTATACGAATGGTTAATCTGAAGTCTTAGGAAACAATCTTATTACATACTGAATTTATGAATTGACTTACATTATCATTATAACGTTCTGTTCTCCTTTCTACACACGAATGGGCCGTTAATTTTTCTTAGACGAATATCTACACTAGATTTCAGTCCAGTATCTATTCTTTAGGACTTCAGATCAAGAACACGTGACTAGCCTGAGTAGAACGTAAATATATTTCAGCATCAAACCGACATAATCCAACAATAATGAACAATCAATCAATAATAATTAACAAGAATAAGGGAATATATAACTCATTTGACATCTCTATCAAACTATCTACATACTTGACTAAGCAGACAATCAATCATTATCATTCTCGCTAACATATTAATTATAAAACCTTGAATAATTGAAAACGAACTATTCAGAGTTGTATTAAATTAGTCAGCTTAATTCCTTCAACTACATTTCTGTATCATTTTTAAGTCTTTTAGAAATTTATTGGGAAACATGAAATTTTAAGCAGAGATGGATAGTGGCTAGTAGTGGAATCCAGGACGCGCGTTTCGTCCTATTTGAAACTCGTCAATAGGACGAAACGCGCGTCCTGAATTCCACTGCCAGCCACTATCCATCTCTGCTTACCATGTTTGTGAATTGAGGCTATATCGAGGCAATACGCACAGTATGCACATATGCCAATTAGAGACTGACCAGTTGCAGTCCTAAACACATCAATGGGAAGATCCAAATAAACAATACTAAGTGAATTCAAACTTCACCCCATCGCACAAGCAAGTGGCTATCAGGACTCAGTGGCCGAGTGGATAACGCGATGGCGTTTGAAACGAGGGTACTGGGTTCGAGTTCCAGAGTGAACATCAACTCTGAGATGCAGGTACATCCAGCTGACGAGTCCCAAATAATACGAAACGCGCGTCCTGGATTCCCCTGCTAGCCACTATCCATCTCTGCTTACCATGCTTGTGAATTAAGGCTATATCGAGGCAATACGCACAGTATGCACATATGCCAATTAGAGACTGACCAGTTGCAGTCCTAACACATCGATGGGAAGATTCAAACAAGCAATAATAAATGAATTTAAATATGAATTTTTGTTTAAGTATTCCTTCTTTGTAATTACAGTTCATGTGTATTTCTCATATTCAATGGGATGTAAGACATTAGGAATATAGAAGCTGTTGTGTCCGAAGAAGATTAAATTATGGGTAACTTTTGAGAACTATATATGGACTGTTATTGTATAATTATCAAGTAACTAGATTGTATATGTATTGATCGATAGCATTCAGTTGATCACCACCCAGCGATCAATCAATTGTGATTACATCTCAGTCCTACAGGAGGTGGGTCGCGGCCTGAATAGCTCAGTGGTAACATCTCTGACCGTGAAGCTGAGTGACACGGGATCGAATCCATCAGGGAGCACCAGTTCCCTGAAGATTACAGGTACACCTTGCTGACGAGTGTCAAGTAGCATGAAACTCGGGTCCAGGGTTTCCTGTTGACCACCTCCAACCACCATCTGATCTGCACATAGTGCACGCAGTGTCGAGCTACCTAGACTAGTGGCCACATTGCGACTTGAGCGATAGCATTCGATCAGCACTAAGAAGGACTTGACACTCATGACACTGATCCCCACCCAATGATCAATCAATTGTGTTTATATTTCCCTTATTATAGGCGGTGGTGGTCGATATTCGATATTATCCTTAAACTTCGTATATTGTTCGTCCTGATAACTGTTATTCGATAACGTCCCAACTGTGTATAAATCAGAAGACAAATACGAAGTGTTGATTGCATTTTTTATTGAATTAAGCACAGATTTCCAAAATTACAGGTATGTTAAGCAAGCATGAAAGTGTTGTGCCGTAAAGCAAGCGAATGATCGAGCAAGAGAGTGATCGAATCAATTAAGTGAGCTTCTATAAGGCATTCATTTGATCCACCAGCTACTATTCAGTTAGTATTCTTAAGTTATTTCCCAATCTATTCGTTACAGTCTCTCACACACACTGCAACGTTTTGGCTTGATCTTGTATAATTATTTATTTTCGTTTTGTGGTGCGATGTGGTCTGATTTGCTTGTTTGTAAACTGCGTATGTCTGAAATATATGATTCACATAGTGAAGGCTGGGATTTCTTTCGGGAGCGAACATGTAGTTCGAGGCAAGAAGGACCAATAAGGGCATTGATTTGAATATAGGTTGTTTGTACTAAAAATAAGGCGTTGTTAGTTGGTACAGTTCCAAGATCAAATAAGTCAGTTCTCTAATCAGTGATTGAGTCACGTGATATTTGATGTTACTTCAAATATTACAGTAGTGATATCTATTCATTATTCGATTAGGAGTGTAGAAGTATACGAACAAATTTTAGTAAAAGAACTAAATTACTGAACATGACAAATAAGCCATGTTTGACTCCATTCCTCACTTGGAATGTATCTGTCAGCTGTACTCCATGCACCAATTTGCATAGCAGTCTGTCGAATGAATTTAGCATGATGTTTTGGACGATTTTTTCAGATACATAATAATCTCATAGGAGTTTCCATTAGGTCTTCATAATCAAGGTAGTTGATATATAATGACGAGTTCCATTAAGGCGATTGTTCAATGCTGATCTGTAGTTTCGCGAACTGGTCTGTTTACGACCGATCCTTAAGGAACCCGGCATGTTGATCTCTAAGTTGGCCGTCTACTGAGTCTTTCATCTGGTTCCGCAACACTCTATTGAAGACTTTTCTCGGTACTGACAGTAGTGTTATTTCCCTGTATTGTCAACCAACATCAAGATCAGAATTTTCAATACAAATGTCAAGACAGTTCCATTGAATGGGGAGGAGACATGGAGAACTACTAAAGCCATCGTCCAGAAGATACAAGTGTTTATTAACAGTTTTCTGGGCAAGATACTTCGGATCCGATGGCCAGACACTATCAGCAACAACTTGCTGTGGGAGAGAACAAACCATATTCTAGCGGAGGAAGAAATTAGGAAGAAGTGCTGGAAGTGGATAGAAAATCACCCTATCGCGTCACAAGACAAGCCCTCACATGGAATCCTGAAAGTTAAAATAAAAAAGGAAGACCAAAGAACATATTACACCGAGAAATGGAGACAGAAATGAAAACAAGAACTGGAAAGGAATGCCCAAGACATAGTGGATTGGAGAATGCTGGTCAGCGGCGCAAGTAATTAAGTAATTTCTCTGTGGTTCTAACAGTTCTTCAGATATCTCTATTTATAGCATTTTGTTGAAGTATCTTTTTAGTTCGTCGAGGTTTGTTCTTCACCCTCCCTCAAATCATCTTAAATAGAATATGGATCATGTTTGTAGTTATATTTATATCGGATTTGAATGCTTTGTTTTAAATTATGACTTACAGTCAACATAACTTTAGATCATATATGATCAATATCAAATCTTTTCTTCATTTTAATTTTGTTTTAATCTATCAATCATAGAGATACTACTTATGAACATGAAAATATCAGTAGTACACATTCAGTAATAGTTAAACCATCTAATATAACAAAATCATCATTCCATCCGACATCTTCTTCTTCTACTTCTAATAATAATAATCATCTTAATAAAGAATCAAGAATATGTATCTCTACAACAGATTGTTATCATATCAGTGTAAGCGATAATCAAATCATTAATCATAATAATGGAGGAAATATACATGAGAGAAGTAATATATCAAGTAATTTAAGTAGTAAACAAGTAAGTTTTTCATATCTTTTTATATTAATAACAATTTAATGAAAAAGGGTTTTGTAGAGATTTCAGTACGTTCATAGTTGAGATCATGAATTCATTGAAGCTAGACCACTGTGGATAACCTAGGTGTACTGGAAGTATGTTTCGTCCAATTCTGGGACTCCACAGCAGTACGCATCAACGATCCCGCCTCTCGAGATCTAAACCAATGACCTACCAGTTTCTCAACTTAGTGGATTGGTTAAAGTTAGATATTAACATCGTTGGATGCCGGCTCAGTGGTCTAGTGGTTAAGGGTTCGCGCGCGAGAATGATAGGTCGTGGATTCGAATCTTGCTCAGTGGGATCGTGGATGCGCACTGCTGAGGAGTCCCACAATAGTACGAAACGACTTTCCGGTTTTTTTAGGTTTTCCATAGTGGTCTAGCTTCAATCGACTCGTGATTACAATTATGAATAGACTCAAATCTTTAAGTGTAAAATAGGTTTCTTTTGATATTGTTTAGTTGTGCTGTAAACGAATATGGTTAGAACATGTAGAAGAATATATCTGTATATAATACATAAACTCATGTAGTTTGTATGAAAATAAATGAAAATGATATACTCATGTAATATTGATAATGCTGAAGTATTCTTCAATCAGTTTTGTTTAAATTATACCGATTTGAAATATTTTTTTTGGCGAGACTATATTTCATAGATGAGCCAGTCAGAAGTGTATAAGGAATTTCAAGGTCACGGCGCCAATCTCAGTAGCTGATGCTCGTGTACGAACGGTCCACAGCAGATTTAAGAGAAGACATGACAATTAAGTGTCTACAATAAATGGGACTACTGAAAGTTCCATTATTTGTAATTGGGGTAATTAAATTACTTGTACACCCTATGCAAACTACCATGATGATGGCTTTCGACGTAATATAAGTTGGATGAGGAAGTATGCTAGAATAGGAACATTTTTCCCTCGATCCAGATTGAGATGAAGGCGATCTATAATAACTGCTGTGTACTGTATGATAAAAGCATCGGTAGCATTGGCTTCAATGTTCGCAGATGTTAGTGAAGCTTCCGCTGTTCAAAAGGTTTGAGTATTATAGAGATATATGCGTAATAAAAATGACAAGCTTACACAACCAGAGTACACATAAACAATATTGAAGCTAGGTGATAGAGGTTGAAAGAGTATTTGCGATCTTATCATGATTTTGGAGATCGACTATTATGGAGCCAAATGGATGATTTCCTCTGTCTTATGCATTACGATTTTAGAATCTTCGAACCTCTTTCTAAATTTGACAAGTTTTTGGACCATGCAAAAGAAATGTATCCACATCGATTGTTTTGTTTTATATAATATATTTCAATTTTATACAAGCCGCTTTTTGATTGGCTAGTGTATCTCAAGGTCATTTAAGATTCGTTCAAAGGTCATCAATAGATTATCGTGAAATACAACATTGACATAGTTGAAAGCGCGAGTCAATTAAAACCAGACAAACATGGAGAACCTGGAAGCACTTAACGGCCGTTTCGTCTTATTTTGGTACTCCTCAGCAATGTGCATCCACGACTTCGCCTCACGAGATTCGAACTCAGAACCTACAGGTCTGGCGTCAAAACACTTAACCGATAGACCACAGCCGTTCAGAGCTTCCAGGTTTTCCCTATTAATCTAGCTTCAATTGATTCACACTTTTAACTATGAAAAATACTAAATCTTTACAAAAAACCCCATATGATAACATTGACATACTCAGTTTTCTACGATCAAATTTTTTCTTTGTTTGTTTGTTTTAATTTTCTAGAAATTAAATGGATCTATTCAAAATAACTTAAATTCTGAAATAAGTCAATCATCTAATAATCAATCAGATCCACATATAATGAATAACAATCATAATAATACTAATAATAATTGTGTAAATGATCTATGGAAATTGAATGGATCCACTTCCATTGGTCGAATCAATACCAATAATCATAGTTCATTTAGAAAATCATTTTCGTCCTCTAATTTATCAACATCATCATCATCTACATCATCATCATTGTCAACATCTATCATAATGAAACATAAATTTGATCCATTGAATAGTAGTAATCTAATACAATCAAATGGATCATTAAATCATTTTTATGGAAAAGATCCATATCAACAACAGTCAATAAACAATTCAACATTGAATTGTCATTCAAATGAACAATGTAATTGAACATCTTTTTTTTCTTTTTTTTCTTGTTTATGACTTACTGATTGTATTGGTAATTTCTAGTGAATTACTAGTGATTTACTGGGATAATATCATCTATTATTAGATATATCGTTTGCTCAGTTAGCAAGTCAGTCAGTCACAACGTAGAACTTTGTACGTACATACATCAATCAGTTCGAGTTGCCATACCACATTAACACAGAGATGTAGTTGTCAATTCAAATCCCATAGTGGTAGAAGTAGTAAGAGTATAAGCAGTAATCGGAAAGATTAAGGGTTGAAGATGTTATTGAAGGAGTGTAATACAGTGAAATAAATTTGAAAAGAGAAAAGAAAGATAGAGACATGAAGAATTCAGAAGATAAGAATTTGGTAGAACACAAAGATTGAATGCACCTTCGTCATCGCAAACGATTTTGAGACATGTCATTCAATGTCTTTAATCATCGATTGTTATCATCTTGAGAATCCCAACCACGTAGTCTACACCTACCAACATGGCTCAGTCCAATTGTCAGTGACTTCATGTATTTGTGCCACGTTTTGGTCTGGCCACCCCTAGCTTTCTTTCAACCTACTCCTACACCATAAAACATTGCACATCGAGGTAGTCGGTGGTTGGGCATACTTAACTCATGTCCCAGCCATCGCAACCGATGAAGTTCTACTAATTCATCAATCGATTTGCCATCCTCACCTAGTACACGTTTCTTAACAACTACATTACTTACTGGGTGGTCCCAGGATATACGAGCAATCACTCGAAGACACCCTTTGGTATTGTTCATGTTATCTAAACATTTTTTTTGGCTATTTAAATAGTGAAAGCTTTATTATTACTCAATACACCTTTTATAATTTCAAGTAGACGTTGATGAAAATATTCAAAGTGACAATGAAAGTTTTGATTAAAATCAGAATTATTTATTAATAGGTTACAAACCTATTGTCTAATAATTAAGTGGTTATATGATATGGTTTACTTATATCCACATAAGTAGTATATATATTGATGGTCAGGCATAGAATGTATATCAGTTGAAGATCGATAAGTATACAACGGGAATGGAACGCGATTTGTATGAAAATACATGAATAATGAAATCAAAGAGGATAGACTGATACTTACAGAAGGAACAGTTAAGATTGAGACAATTGAATAATAGTTTTCAAATCGACCGTTTACTATTGTATGGTTATCAGATTTTACTGCCTAAATACAGTTGATTGTCCCCAACCACGTTCTTGTTTACTATAGTTATAGTTAGAAAAGAAGATTCTGTTTTTGACCCTTTAACTGATATAAATCACTAGTGATCATATGCTCATTAGTGACTGGCATCGTGAGGTATTTCCTGTATTTATAGTTAGATTCAGAGACCAGTGGAGTACAACCAGGTCTGTTGTAAGATATAAGCTCACTGGAAACAATGATGAATGGTTGCTCAATTTCTTGAATTAGTTGAAGATAAACATTAACACCATTGAATGCGGCCGGCTCAGTGGTTTAGTATTTAAGCGCTCACACGCGAAATTGATAGCTCCTGTGTTTGAATCTCTTAAATCGGGATCATGGATGCATACTGCTGAGGAGTCCTAAAAAGAACGAAACGGCTTTCCAGTTCTTCTAGGCTTTACATGGCGGTTTAGCTTCAAGTGACTTTCCACAAAAACCCCTTCTGACACTGTTGAATAGTGTTTTTGTTCTGAAATGAAATAACTTTTTATTCACTTTTTCTTATAAGTAAACATGAACTGTACAATGAACAACACTATGATTGAAATAAAGAAACCAGAAGCATTAATAGATAAATCTGATCAACAAATTGAGAATTCATTTGGAAAAACAATCATGTCAATCAATAATAGATTAGTAAGTTCTATTGTTTGTGATAAACACCTTGATCTTGAAATTATCTTTGATATAGACTGATATCTTCTGAAAAACTTTGAATATCAAACAGTACTGAACAACTGCTTTCTTCTAGTATGTAACTTATTCATTGTCTGTAGGCACTAAATAACTTAGGATCGACTATCACATTTCCTGGTTAACGTGTGTACTTCAAATGATCTGTACGTTGAACTATGATCGATTTAGTCTGAAGTGCATCGATCATTGGTCCTATTAGTGAAGAAATTCTTCAATCCGGATATGCACTATTTCCACTAGTTATGATTGCTTAATACAGCTTCACGAATTTTTTTTTGTGAGTTCGTCTCTAGTGGTCATACGATTTTAGTTTAGCTGAGAGATTAGTAAAGTAAAGATTATTAAGTTGTAATTCAGGTCTATCACTTGTAGTTACAGATAAGCGTCTCAGGTTATATTTATGATAGGGTTTTATTGCAACTGATCATGTAACGTAGTTTTCTCTCTCAGCGGCATACTACACTCTTGAGTCTGGTGCCGTAGACCGCTTGGCCACTCAGACGTAGCGATATACTACGCTTATACAATATTATGATAATATGAATGGTCTGGGTCATCGAGTTTATGAAACTCCTAGATTGAATACCCAATCGAAATGTTATGCACAAAGTAGATTACATTATATCCGATACATAATTTACGATGAAGAACAGAGATCCGCAGAAACTCTAGAGAATACTTTATCTCAGACCATTTCAAGCAGTCTACATCCATTCAGTTCACAGTTTAAATCAATAAGAGGAAAAGAAATTACAGATTTAATCAGTGGTGTGTGCTACGGATGACAACATATATAAGTAGTATATATCATCGATAGAAAGTGAAAGGCTTGACGACAGAAGGTTAAGAAGGTCGAATAAAAGAGAACAGAAACAAAGAATGATTGATGTGGAATCGAAGAAACAATGATTTCTGTGATGATTGATTGAAATTTTGTAAATGAAGCATTTGCTGTATGGTTCTCAGATTCTGTAATTTTATGTTCAAATATATTTGGTTATCCCTGTTTGTAATCCCATTCACTACAGTATCCTTATTTATCTATAATTTGTGGTTGGTCATATTAACTTTCCACATTAAACATCAAGTTACGGAGGCATACTTCTGAAGCGTTCTATTATCAAATGAAACTGATCTTAAGTACTCACAATTGATTGATCACTGGGTGGTGATCAATGTCATACGTGTCAAGTCCTTCTTAGTGCTGATTAAATGCTATCGATCAAGTTGCGATGTGACCATCAGTCTAGGTGGCTTGACACTCGTGCACTATGTTGAGATAAGAAGGAATTGACACGCATGACATTGATCACCACCCAGTGATCAATCAATTGTGATTGCATCACAGTCCTACAGGAGGTCGGTCGCTGTCCGAATAGCTCAGTGGTAACGTCTGTGACTGTAAAGCTGATTGACATATGATCGAATCCGTCAAGGAGCATCAGTTCCCTTAGGATTACAGGTACACCTTGCTGACGAGTACCAAGTAGCACATAAACACGGGTTCATTGTTTCCTACTGACCACCTCCAACCACAAGCTTATCTTAAGTACTTTCTGGTTTCTTATAGTTTACTAATTAAGATCAGTTGTCATGCTAACCTTCTTTCACTTTTCCTTCTTTGTATTATTTTAGAATCATTTACTCAAAACAAATTGTTCATCTTCGTCAACAGTGACAATATCATCGTCGTCATCCTCAACATCAACAACAACATCATCATTTGGTTGGTTAAAATGCCAAAGTCCTACACTGATTAATCCGAAATCATCATTATCATCATCAGCAGAAGCAACAACAACATCAATGTTATCATCATCATATAAATGGTTAAATGTAAAGGATAGCATGAAAAAAAGCCATAAATCTAATTTTAGTAAATCCACAAATAATTTATTGCATCATACAAATATGCTGAATAATAATAGTAGTAGTATATTAAGTAGTGGACATTTAACACCATGTCCAATTCAACCAACAACAACAACAACCAATGTAACTGAAGAACGAAGTTATAAAAGTATATCTGAGGATAAAATTAATGAGGTATCTATATAGATTATGTAATCATGTAAATTATGATTGTAATGTATAATACGTGCAATAACATACAAACGAATAGACAATTTGATATAGTTGAAATCATGATTCAATTGAAGCTAGAACGCCATGGAAAACCTGAGAAGCACTGGACGGTCATTTCGTCTTAGTATGGGACTCCTCAACAGTGCACGTCCGCGAACTCGCCTAGCGATATCAACTCACTGAAGACAATGGTGAATGGTTGCCCAATTTCGCGGATTGGTTGAAATTAGACATTGACACGGTTGAATGCCGACCGGCTCAGTGGTCAAGTGGTTAAGCGCTCGCCGCTCAAAACTGATAAGTACTGGGTTCAAATCTCGCGAGATGAGATCATGGATGCGCGCTGCTGAGGATTCCTACAATAGAACGAAACGGCCGTCCAATGCTCCCAAGTTTTCTATGGTGGTCTAGCTTCACATTATTCATAACCTCAACTATATGAAATTACTAAAATCTCCACAAATCTCTCTTTCAATAAAACTGAAAATTTATCATAAAAAAGAATAGAAAAGATTGATCGTCGTCCAGTGCTTCCAGGTTTTTCATGATGGTCTAACTTCAATTGGTTCATGGTCTAAACTATATATAATTACTAGGATCTTCAAGAAACCCTCTTCTGATATTGAGGAGAATGTTGGATTTGGAATTTTACATTACAGATTGACTTTCGTCAGAAAACCAGTAAAGCTAATAATCAATGGCTAGCTGTTTTGTCTCAATGTAGGCTTCTTAGCTAGAATTTTATTGAGGATCTTGAGACTGAAGCAATAAAACACTATAAATGCTAAATAACTTACTTTGTTGTATACAAAACAATCAGTGGAACCTAAGTTATAAAAAATATGTGTATTGGTAAGTGCATGAGTCTAATTGTACCACTTTATAGTTGTAGTTATTATTTATTTCAAAGGGGTTTAGACAAAATGATACTGAATATGCTTCCTGTGCACACAGAGAACCTGATTCTTCTACCTTTAATGGATATTGGTTTGATCATTCAATGAACTTTGAACTTGACTACTTTCGAAGGACAAACTGTAATTCTAATATTTGAAATTCATGTGTCGATTTAAGCTAAACTCCCTGAAAATTCTGGAACCACCGCATGGCCGTTTCGTCCCAGTATGCGACTACTCAGTAGTGTGCATACACAATTCGGTACTCGAACCCAGGACCTTCGGCTTCGTATGTGAACGCTCAATCTCTAAACATTAAGCCAGTGACATCCAACTGTGTTAATGTCTAACTCCAAGTCCTAAGTAAACTATATCATAGTGTTTTGTAATGAATCTTTTTTAATTATTTTTCTTAGTTGGATTTGCAAAATCGACGATTTGCTTCGGCTCCTTTATTACCTGCATCTTTATTACCTGGAAGTATAAGAAATCGTCCAATTGTTAATATTACAAATACTACATCTACTACTAACTCTACTAGTAATATATTCAATTCAACTAAAGTAAATTCTAAATCATATTTAATTAGTTCAAATAATGGTTCATCATCAGTGATTCGATTACATTCATCCAATGAATTAGATCATTTATTTCATGATTATAGACAACGTAGAACATCTAAAAGTACTTCAAACGATGGATCAATATCCTCTAATCCTATTTCATCTAATGATATCCACCGTTATAAGAATATTGATAATCATCATCATCATAATAGTAGTTTGCAACAGTTTTATCATTCAAATGATTTACGAAATGACAATAAACAGTCCAATTTCAATGGGATTAATGAACAATCCAATGATTTGGGGAAGTCATCTATAAAATATAAATCGACTATATCTAATGTATTAGACACTGTTGTAGAAGCTTCAAGTAATCCAAGGATACAATCAAGCACAAGAGTTAGTCAAGTAAGTGAATTAAAGCAATAATTACATTCAAAAAAATAAATCATCAGTTTCATGAGTTAGCCTGACTATTATTTGATTCTGTCGTCCTGTAAATAATCTCAGTCTAGAAGATTTAAACCGGAATGGTACAAACGATTAATCGATACAATGCTAAGTTAAAGACCCACATATCCAATAACATTATCCTGGCTCACCCTAATTTGATGTTAGGGTAATCTTGATATATTACGAAATAATCTTTTCTTTTAGGTCAATTTCGTATTTTAAAAAAACATATCCGAAGGTTAGAATGTATGGGGATTATGATCAAGCTGATGCTTCTACTTGTTCAAGTACGATGTTATTTCACTGATCCTATAATAGTGACTTTGGTGTGATGACTTACGATAATGGGATTCGATTCATATTTATTGCATATTTTAGTTAGGATCGTGACTCGAATACTGCGAACCTGGAAGCACTGGACGGTCCTTTCATTCTAGTATGGTAGTTTAAAATTGATCGGTTCATAATCTCAATCAAAGTTGAACAATCTCTTCAATCCTATACTGATATATATCACATATTCGATTAGTAGGGTGTTGATTCCAACAATCTTATTGATTACGTAAAAAACAAATTCAGTGAAGAAAATTTTCCTTTCAACGATATCATTCAGTTGTGCTGTACGTTCATATTTTTACTTCCATGGTAAATAAAAATAACCAGTAGTCAGTAAAATTGTCATCCATTGTTGTTGACGCTTTACTACTGTAGTGAAAAAGAACAAGAGTAGGGACAATCGAATGTAATTAAGCACAAAATTACAGAATGCCTAAAAAAAATATGAGAAGCATATAGTAAATAGTTGATTTGTAAAATAACAATCCATCGTCTCAAACGTGACTGTTCCTTCTGCAAATATCAGTCCATCGTCTCTAATTAATATTGTTCATACATTCCCATACCAATTTCATTTCATTTTTGTTCTTTCGTTATCGACCTTCTACTGTAATACATTCAATGCCCGACCAATATTATATATTATTAATGTGGATATAATTAACCCACACCTCACTCGTCCTCTTTCTATAGAGCATTCGTTGTTGTGGTGATGCTGTTATCCATGCCATTTTATTCTTTTACTGCAGTCTGTGCTACGTTCTCCGTGAAATTGTAGAGTCCGAGGCGATCTGACCTTCATAGCTTCATCGACCTGCCAAAACACCAACACTACAATTAAAGCATTCATTTTCTCGTAGTCAATGCATTCTATAGAAGAAGGATTGCACTACCTCATAACACTATATAATGAATGAATAGTGGACGGTTACCACGGTATATTTCATAACTGAAAACCATTTAACTAGTATTGTCGAATCACTTCTTGTTATTAGTTTATTTATGAGAAGTAAATTTTAATAATATTAGAGGTTAAGCGTTAGCGTGCGAGACTGATCGGTCTTGGGTTTGAAACTCACGAAGCGGGATCGTGGATGAGTATTGCTGAGGAGTCTCACGATAAGCTGAAACGGCTTTGCAGTACTTCCAGGTTTTTCATGGTGGTCTCGATTCAATTGATTCATGATCTCAAACATTAAAATTACTATAATATCCATCAAATCTTCTGATAATAATAAAATATATGACTAAATGTCAGTATTTACTAATATCCATTAATTAAGTAGGGTATATAAGTCAATTATTAATGGTACTCCGATATTTAACGCTGCATTTTATTGTTTTTAAAACTATCTAAATGTTTGCATATAATCTTTATATTATTTTATATTTTCAATAGTTGATATCATGAGTCAATTGAAGCTAGACCACCATCAAAAACCTGGAATCAATGGACGACCGTTTCATACAAATTGTTTTCCATGGTGATCAACCTTCAATTGACTCATGATCTCAACTATTGAAGTTATTATAGTATCCACAAACCCACCTCCTCTTCTGATATTTTCCATTTGTTTATTAGGTCAACAATATTATTCAAACAAAAATTTCATCCAATGAAACAGCTAACACTAATAATCATAATTATCATCAAAATACACAATCTACACTATTACCGTCTACTCATTTAAAATTCAGTAGTATATCAAATAAAACGAAAAATGTCAATGTAAAACAATCTCCATTCAATTTAACAACAAAATTAGATCATATAAACACATTAAATGATGTCAATTATACACCATTGATAAATTATAATAAACAACAACATTTATTACCACAACCTGTTATATTATCACGTTTAAATTCATTAAAACAAATAAATAATAATAAAGAAAAATAAAAAAGAAAAAGAAAAAAGAAAGGAAAAAATGAAAAAAAATGAAGAAAAAAAATAAAGAAAACAATTCCATGTAAAATAATTTCAATATTTATGAATACCTCTCCCCCTCTCCCTCCCTGTGTGTTATAGTAGGCACCTAGTAATTGAATGAAATCTTTGGAAGATGAATTAAAACAAAAGGAAAAAAGAAAAAAGAAAGAAAAAAAGAAAATTCATGTAATATAATTTTATTGTTCAATATTTATGAATACCTTTCCCTCTCTCTCTGTGTGTTATAGTAGTTACCTAGTAACCAAATAAAAACTTTGGAAAAAGTATTTTAAAAAAGAGAAAAAGAAAAAATAGAGAAATAAAGAAAAAAATGAAGAAGAAAAAGAAATTTTATGTAAAATAATTTCAATATTCATTATTTGTTTATATATATATGTGAGTGTGTGTATTCGTGTATGTAATAGTAGTTACCTAGTAATGAAATAAATACTTTGGAAAAAGAATTTTATTAAAAAAAGAGAAAAAAAGAAAAAAAAGAAGAATAAAAAAGAAAAGAAAACTTTTTCTTATTTGTATTTAATCAATTTTATATTATTTCTAGATTTTTTTTTAATATTGAAGTATAATCACTTGTTATCATGCAAAAAAAGATTTTATTACAAATTTAGTTAGCAACATTATAAATGACATAGTAACAAATTTTTTTTTCTTTATTGAATGCATTCTACACAGAATACCAAATTAAAAAAAAAGATAAATTATTACCCTTAATCAAAAGGTATCTGAATATAGAAGGTATTAAAAGGGGTGAATAATATTTTAATTATGCCTTATATTGATCAGTTTTTTTAAAAAAAAAGAATGATTATAAATTATTGTAAATATTACTCAGTGATAATCTGGTTGCCATGGCAACACAACTATGTTTATTCTATTAACAATTTAAACTTGATTCATTTAAATCTATCAAAATGAAATTTTTCTTTTTTGTTTTCTTTATTTTTTTTTTTAAAGTTGATTGTTTATTATCAAATTTCTGGAGAATTTTTAAATATTGAAGATGACATAGTGAATTTGTTTATAGGATTATAATAATAATAATAATGAACAGTTTTTTGTTTAAGCAACGATGGCTGGTTAGCGTTTTTTTTAGCGAATTGGTTTTCTTTGGCATGGGGTCACTAACCCCATGCCCAACCCTCCTCGTTTACTCGGCCTTGGTACCGGCAATAGCACCACGAGGAGCTACAGACGGAGGAAATCGCCCGATGGCGTCACAAGACAATGTCTTCACATGGAATCCTGAAGGTCAAAGGAGAAGAGGAAGACCAAAGAACACATTAGGCTGAAAAATAGAGACAGATGTAAGAAGGGTGAGCAAAAAATAGATAGACTTAAAAAAGAAGACCCAGGACAGAGTGAGTTGGAGAAAGCTGGTCGTCGGCCTATGCTCCATTGGGAGTAACAGGCGTAAGTAAAGTAAGTAAGTAAGTAAAGATGGCTAGCAGTAGAACCTAGTTTGACGCGCGTTTCGTCCTATTTGAGACTCGTCAAATGGATGTACCTGCATCTTAGAGTTGGTGTTCACTCTGGGACTAGAACCTAGTAGCCTTCGCTTCAAGCGCCATCGCGTTATCTATTCAGCTACTGATTTCTGATAGTCACTTGCTTGTGCGATGGGGTGAAGTTGAAATTTACTTAGTATTGTTTATTTGAACAGTTTTCTTTGTTTTGTTTTTGTTTTTTTAGGTTTTTATTGATCTTTTTGATTTGTTTTAAATTGAAGTTGTAAACTGAACACGAGTTTCTAAATTTGTTTAAATTCATTCAAACATGTTGAAATGTTAATTTTTAATTATTTGTTATCTTAACTGAAGTACTAGGAAGTATAATCGATGAATAAGGAGGATCAGATGCAGATATACAGGCGAGAATTGGTAGAGCAAGGATAGCATCCCTACAAATGAAGAACAAAACAACTGTCAACCAATAACAGAGTGAGAATCTTCAATACGAAAGTCAACACAGACCTACTGCATGGAGTTGAAATCTGGAGAACAACTTAATCCATCGTCAAGAGGTTATAAGTATTTATAAACAGTTGTTTACGCAAAATGCTCAACATTCACTGACCGGATACTATCAGCAACAGCGTTTTATGGGAGAACACAAACTAGCTTTTAGCTGAACAGGAAATTAGGAAAAGATGTTGGAATTGGATCGGAAATACATTAAGAAAATCACTAAACTACATCACGAGGCAATCTCAAGCTTGGAATCCGGAAGGTGAACGGAAAAGCAGAAGGTCAATGAATACATTATTCTGGAAAATAGAAGCAGATATGAAAAGATTGAATGTTAACTGGAAAGAATTTGAAAGAATTGCCAAGGGCCGGGTTGGATGGAGAATGCTGGTGAGCGGCCTATGCTCCTCCATAAGGGGTAACAGGTGTATGTAAAAAGTAAATTCAGTGAATTATATTTTCAAACTTTTATTAATAATAATCAATCAATATATTGTTTCCAATTATTGATCCACTGATATAAACTGAATAGATCATAATGATAGATATATGTCAACAAGATTGGACAATTATAGTCATACATTACGGAGATAATGAAGGTTAGATCGACTTCCTTTTTAGTCTGTTCTTCAATTGTACAAATGGTTGAATCTAATGGATACACAATGGTGTCAAATTAACTATATTATTGATAATAATAATCCATGTTATTATTAGTAATATTACTATCATAATGAATAACAATGTAGGTGAACAGAATGGATCATTTTTATACAGGGTTACTTCATAAAATAGAAAACAACCATACACTAATACTTTATTTACAAAAATAATCAATCAATGTCTCCGACTTTATTGTTCCTGCATTTGAATACTAAGTACTTTCTGTTCTCATTCTTCCCTCCTCGATCTTCTCAACCTTCTATTGTCAAGCATTCTATTCTATTATTGTTTAGCGTTATTTACTACTTATGGCGCAGGTGTATACACTGAACAACAATTACCACGATACGCTATGCTGACTAGTATTGAGAATGGTTGGAAGAAAGTTAGGGCTGCCAAACTAAAACGTGGCATCAGTGCTTGAAGTCACTAACTTGTAGTCTGAACCATTTTGGTAGATGTAGACTACTTGGTTGAGGTCTGCGTGACTATCGTAACCAATGGTTGAAGACTCTAGGTGATACAGCTCAGAATCGATCACAATGGCGTAGGTGTATACACTCTTTATCTTCCCATAAACCTTCAGATTAAAATTGCTTCATAACTTTCTTCCTTCCTATACTATATCCTTATATACAACCTTTCTTTTATATATAACCACCATTAAATGTACCACGTCTATGAATTTGGTGTTCAACTTGTTGTATTAATGAGGTATAGCAACTTGAACTGATGCATATATGTGCCTGGTCCAACGTTGTACCTGACTGTCCGACTATGTAGTATACACTATACTATCTTTAGTAATTTGATTATTTTTTTATAGTTACAAGTGATACAAATTTTTGAATAATATCTAACAAAACAGTCTATTACATATATGTTTTATCTTATGTTGGATTTGTCAATGTTGATGTTCACACTTCAACCTTGAACTTAGCATCAATAACCTTAAACAGTCAATGACTAAAATAAAAAAAGTATAATTAGGGCTCAGTAACTGAGTGGATAACGCGATAGCGTTTGAAGCAAACGGTATTAGGTTTGTAGTGGACCAGTAAGTTCGCCAAACTTAGAATGCAATGGGAATGTCACAACCGTCTATAAATATATAGATGATAATGAACTAATAGTTCAGTTATCATATCCATAGGCATGATAGAACCAGGCACGTATATATAAGAGTGTACTTATTTATGAGCAGTTACCGATGTCGTGCTATACGTAATTCAAAACGGAAATAAGTAAAGAAGTAAGTGTTCAAGGTCATACAATTTAACAACAAGTACAATGGTTTTAGTGATAAATGTAGAGAATGTGAAAATAAACAAAATAAATGCAAAAGCTGTCAAAAATTATTTAGAAAATAGGTTTATAAGGAATATCTCTACAGGTTTGGTCCACCAGGGTGTTTGGTACCTGAATGGTTGCGCCACAGGATTGGACTGAGCTGTTCGGATTGTAGCGTTGAAGCCTTTATAGTGTCTGGTTCTCCTATAGGGCGGGATTGAGCTGTACTGCTTGAGCTAGGCCTGGGCAGTGGTTGGCTCTCCTTTTAAACGGGATTGAGCTGTACTGTTTAGGTTGCCACGTGAAAGTCTGGATGGTGTCTTGTTCACCTGAAAACCAGTGCAAGATTACCCTGACCCATAAGGGTATATTGTATAGCTTATATAATCTCTACAGGTTCGAGTCTCAGAATGAAAATCACTTCTGAAATCCAGGTAAATCCATCTGAAGAGTCTCAAATAGGACAAAACGCGCGTAAAACTGGATTCCACTGCTAGCCACTATCCGTCATTGCTTACAATGCTTGTGAAATATGGCTATATCGAGGCAATACGCACAATATGCACATATGCCAATAAGAGACTGATCAATTGAAGGCCTAAACATCAATGGGAAGATCCAACTAAGCAAAACAAAGTGAATTTATAATTAGGGCAAGGTATAAAAATTAAATAAACAAGTAAATGCTTAATGAATAGACAGCTTAAACCTGTATAATAATTCATTAGATGCTGAATATTCATTTCTTTCTTATCTAACAATATAAAGTAATAAAGATTAAGATGGTCACTATTCGATATTATCCTGAAATTTCCTTATATTGTTCGTCCTGATAACCATTACCAGATAACTCTCCGACGGTGTATAAATCAGAAGGCGAATACGAAGTGTTACATACGTTTAACATTGCACCACACACAGATCTGATTCGATTGATGCATGTTCTGTTGTATTGTGTGATTCCGTCAGTACGCGATTAATGGTTACGGAATCCAGCCTGTTGGTCTCGAAGTTCGGCGTCTACGGATTCCT